CTTTGTCCTTATCATTAAAACTCAAAGTTTTCAAACCCTTTTCATTAGTTTTCCTTAGTTTAAACTGTCAAGATTATGTGGTCACTTTTGTCGATTTTTTTTCATTTACATGCACTCAGTTGTTTGTCTTTATTTGCCAAGTATGGTGCTCTGTAGACATTGCTTGAATTCCCATAAACGTTATTCATTCAAAGTATCATGTGTCGTTGCGTGAATGAAGTTAATGTTATAAAAGCAGTGTGAATGCCTACTAAAAAAAACAGTATGAATGAAGACTTTGAAAGATGATTAAAGTTTACTATTCACACGATAACTTTGATTGCCATTAATGTATTAAAATAAGGGGGTTTTAAGGAAACACCTTTGGTATTATTCATATTTAATCATAAAGACATTCTTAGTATAAAAAGTCCATAATGGATCAAACTTTTTTCTTTATTTACTCTTATGCCATTATTCTATTCATCATGGTGGGTCCCACAATGATGTTTACTTTTTTGTTTAATGCTTGAATTATTGTACATAATTTTGCATGATGTTACTGTAATTTGTTGCATTATTGTGCTACTTTTCATCTTTTGCTAGTCTGCTGCCAGCTCTTCTATGCTTCCATCATGTTGTCAATGTGCAGTTCCTCTTCTGTCATACTATTCCAGTATTGTTCATCTTTTTTTCTAGTTCAGCCTCTCTTTCTCTATCTTCTTTTATCTTGTAATAAGTATTTGCAGTTTCTCCTTTGAAATTTTGAGACTTCCAATAGGGCTGATGGCGGGTTTTTGTTTTGTTGTAAATCTACATTTCTTTATCTTCTACTACTAATAACATATCATACTTAAAATCTTCAAACTCATCTAAGGCTAACATTTGGATTCTTCGATATCTCAAAATAATTTAGTGTGAAGGAGTCCATCTGTAGGGTGCTATGGAAGACAATTCATTTAGTATGACATTATGCCTAGCTTATTCCTTATACATATGCATATACCCATCTAAAGAACTACGAATAAAACTTATACGAATATCTTTCTATTCTTCTAAGTAATCTTGCACTGCTTTCTTAAGCTTATCAAGGAATAATTCTAATTGGGGACTATGGTTAATAAATATTTTATCAAGATAGGCAAACTATAATAGTAAGTTGTGGTAACTTGTACTCTGTTATGCTTCTTCTGATGCTCATAATTAAAATGTCATGATCTAAAATCTCTCATGTTAATCATGGCCAAAGCTATGCTAACTTTTGATTTACAAATACAACTCTCTCTACTATCACAAAGACATGATGGAGATATCTTTGTAATAATATCTATCTCTGGTTTAGGATCAAAGATGGATTGATATATAGCTCATTGTAATGGTAATTCCAGTTCTTACATGAACTGTGATGCTTTGTTTAAGATCTCATACTACATATCTATTGGCATTATACAGAGCACATTGTAATTGTGATTGCAGTTGTTTCATGAACTATGATGTTCTGTTCAAGATCTTATATTGCATATCTATGGACATTATTCTTAATTTTGCTGTTGAAATTCCTTCTAATAAGATATCATCTTTTATTAAGTCTAATGGTATAGTCTTAATAAATCTTTTATATTTATGTTTTTTCTTCGCTTGTCTGATGCTGCTCCATTTTAGCATCTCCTTTGAAAATCTTAATCTTAATCTATCTCTCTTCAACGGGCTTATTAGCCATTTGTTCTTTATTAATGGGTTCAATAACTTCTTTCTCTTTATTCTCATGCTGATTATATTATGTGCCAATTTTCAATTCTCTTTTCAAGGTGTTACTTGCCTCTGCTGCATTCTAAGGTGTTACTTGTGGTTTTCAATTCTCTTTTCAAGATGTTACTTATCATTTTCAATTTTCAATTCTCTTTTCAAGGTGTTACTTACCACTGCATCTTGGTTTATTTTGGTGAATTGGTTAATTAATGCCTCATGATCTCCAGAGAAAGGTTTGGAGGTCGTGTTCAAGAGAATGAATATGGTGCTGGCTTTAATGAAAATTAAAATTAAACTATCAAACTCTTGCTTTAAAGCTCTAATTAATTTTGTATGACCTAAGCTCATGCTTGGTTGCTTAATTTGAACATTCAAAAGTTATCTAAGAGAAACTTTTACTCATTAGTGAGTCCTGATACCTTTGACCTATGCCTCAAAGGAGGATTTTTCATTCTTTCAACTAGAGTGCCAATAAAGTTAAAGGTGAGTATTGGTGGTGATGCTGGTCTACTTATGCTATTTTGGAATCCCCTAAATAATGGAGGTCCATGATGCATCATTATGCTACTTAAAGGTTCTCTTATGCCTTGTGGTCTTGTGCTATTTAAGGATAATGGTTCACGATATTTCATTCATGTCCAATGAATTAGTCTTAATAAAATATCAGCTAATGTATTATCACTGCCTTTAACATGTCCAAAAATTAGTCTGAAACCATTCCCAGTAATCACTGTTCTAAAAATCCCCGCCTAATGCTGCCTAGGCGTTAGGCAGTTGGCCACCATCTCGATTAATATCTAGGCATTTGAAAATTAAGAAAGGGTGCCTAGACCTACTGAGGCGTCCACCTAAACCGCCTAGGCATCCGCCTAACCCGCTTAGACTCGCCTAGGTTGCGACTTACTTAGACAAAAAATAAATAACTTTCATTTTGCATTTTATTTTTTAATAACTTGTAAAAGACTTGTTGGATACTTAAATGAACATATATTATATGCTAGTTCCCCATGTTTTCATTACATTCCAATACTTCATAATATATATGTTATTCTATTTTGTAGTTATGATGTGATTACATATATTTTAAGTATAAACACATTTATTTACATGAAATATAATAGATTTACTTAAATCCGCCTAGGCGCCCACCTAGGCCTAGCGCGTAGGCCCCAGCCCTCCGCCTGACTAGCGCCTAGCGTCTTTTAGAACCCTGCCTGTAATTGAATCGATAAAATTGATCCATCTTCGGACATCATTAGAAGATTACGTGGCAATTCCTCGACTGTTAGATTTTCTTTTGATAGTTTAAAAGGAACTTTAACGAAAAACCACATTTTTACACTAAAAAGTCAATCCTAGGTACTATGCACTTTACCCTTTATTTTGTCCTTATCGTTAAAACTCAAAATTTTCAAGTCATTTTCATTAGTTTTCCTTGATTTAAATCGTAAGGATTACGCGATCACTTTTGTTGATTTTTCTCATTTGCATTCACTCAGTTGTTTGTCTTTATTTGCCAAGTATAAGGCTCTACTAACGTCACTTGAATTTCCATAAACGTCATTCATTCAAAGCATTATGTGCCATTGCGTGAATGAAGTTAAGGAATTTTCTTTTAAATTTTAAAGTGTTTATTTACTTTATTTATTTGGTAAAATGTTGTTAAAACACTTAAAAGTGTTTTTACTTTATTTATTTAGTAAAATGTTATTAAAACACTTTAATTTTAATAAAAAATTTCCGTTATAGCAGAAGACAACCTAAAATGTTTTTCAAATGCGTAATTTATTTGCAATATAGCAAAAGACCATTACATTTATTATAAATCGTTTGAAAGTGTTTTTAAAAAGAAAACTAATGAAAAAGGTTTGAAAAGTTTTAGTTTTAATAAATAAATAAAATCATGTTATAAGTTTTGTTTAATGATTAGTATAAAGCCCACATTAAAATAGTTCAACTAAAAATGGCCCAACTATAATAAATTACAATTTGTCGATTTTACCTCTAACTTTTTTAGGTTGAGTTCTAGATTTTCGTCGTTAATGGAGTTTATCGTTGTTTTGCAGACTTTCTTCATTTTCTTTGAAACAAAAATATAGATCCCATGCTATGTAATTTATATTTTGTATTATTTCATTTAAATGTGGTCGTCGTTATTATTCATAGCGTATTCAAGGTACTTTTTTCAATTTTCTTCATCAGTGGAGTTCATCGTTTGTTTCTCCAAAAAATAAATTTGAGATCTGCATGCTATTCAATAATAATAACGAGTCACTGTTTATGGACTGTAAAAATAAACTATTTCTGAATTTTAAGTAACATTATTTCTGAAATCTAAGTCATCATTTCTGGAATCTAAGTTGTTGTTTCTGAATCCAAATGAAATGAACACATTGTTTCTTAAATGTAAGCTAGAAAAGAAATAGTGAAATTCACTATATTTGGATTCAAAGCAAAATAAGCAATCTGTTTCTTAAATATAATCAACTGATGCATGAAAGAAAAGAAACAGTCAAAGGTTAAAACATAGACTGTTTCTGGGTTTTGGTTTTTTTCTTTCCAAATGCAGTGTTTGTTTTGTGAAACAGTGTTATGTTTTGGGTTCTCCAGAAACAGTTTTATGTTTTTTTTTTTTTCCAAGACACTTTTTCGCTTGTTTTTGCCATTAAACTTCTTTGAACTTGTTTCGGAAGCTTTGTTCCGATGAATGCTTCATTTTTTAACTTTGATTTGAACTTTGATTTGGTTGCTTTTGAAATGGGGGAATTCAATTTGATAGGAAGACAGGGAGTTATTATGGCAGTTTTGTGCTGGGTTGAGGTTGGTGAAGAGTCAGGACATCATTGAATCATTTAGGGATATTTACGAAATTGTAGATTTGTAGCGAGTTGGACTTTTAAGTGTGACCTATGGACAATAGTTTTGGATGAATTTTTATTAAACTTTGAGCCCTTTTGGTTAAATAACATTTTGAGATGATTTTTGGTTAAATATTTGTTGACCCAAACCCTTTTCATTAAAGCTCCCTTTTTAAAATGGCTAAAAGCGTTTTTCGTAAAAATATTTTTGAATCCAATTCTTAGTAAAAATGTAGATGAATCCGGAAAAAAACACTTAAAGTGCTTGTTGAAATACTTGCTTTTGAAACCCAAATTACTTTTGGTAAAACACTTTAAATCATTTTCAAAGTACTTCTAAACGAGCCATTTCTTCAACATGCAATATAACAAAGTATTCGACAATTTTGTCTTAAGATTAACAAAGTTGCAATATGTTTAGTCTAATCTTTGAAGATTAAATAAGTTAACAACACAATAGCGCCAAATATCTTACATACAATCCAATAGCTAATGCATTACAAAAGTTCCCGCGTAGTTTGACCAGCCCAAGTTACGTGCTGGATGATCTTACAGCAGTAACATGCCGAAATTCAAGGGTCTAAGAGAATTTAGCGAGTCGATCTGAGTCACTTAAAATGCAATGTATGCTATACGTTCATGTATAGTACGACTCCTTGGATTATTAGAAAAGAGCAGCAGATTAGTAAGTAAATCCGATACCTAAACGATCTGTTTTCCAGCAGTGGCAGAAAGTGGATGGATTTCCACTTTTCCAGAGTGATGCAAGGTCGCAAAAGAATGTTATCACGAACATCTGTTTTACACAAATATAGCGCATAAGACTTAGGTTTTTACTAAACCGAAGCATGAAGGCAACAAGAACAAAGTTGCAACCGAAGAAGCAAATAACTAAAGAAATTGCTAGGGAGTGGGAACTCAACTTTAAGAACGCAGCCACATGAGATTGGTATTCATCTGAGTATCGATTTACAAAATTTGGCCAGGATGAAATTAATTCAATGAAGAAGATCCTGAGTCGCCAAAATCCATTATATTTGGCACCATCAAATTCCTTACATTTACTTTTAATAAAGAAAAAGAAACAACATAAAATTAAAAGTTAGCCTTTACCTGTTAAACCACAGTGCCAAATTACTACCTCTTCAAGAACATGTAAGGAAATATTGCTTACATCGGTATTTGAAAAAATGCAAACTGTACCTTGTTGACAGCTGAATTTGTACGAATGACTTACTACTTGCGCAGACTAAGAGCAAGTGAGATGCCACCTAGCCTACTACCTTTCTATATTTCACGGTATATTTGACCAATCTGAACAAACAACAATCTCAGTTCTGGCAGCAGTATCCCCTTCTTGCAACTCAATCCTGTCTACAGAGCCATTCACTGTTTAACACCATGCAACACACTCACCGATTGGTTTTACTACCAATATGAGACAAGAAATTCAAAATTTCAAAAGCTTTTGCTGAATCATTCTGCGAACCTGTAGCTGATGCTGCTATTCTAGTTTCCTTTATCGACTTGAGTATCAGTTGAACCAATTGACTGGTTCATGTTTTGAGCTCTATACTTCGCTGCAAATGCTAGGGTAGAAAAGAGTCCCCTCTGGAATGAATTTGCTGTACCTTTACAAAACTTGGTTGCTACATGATCTGAAGATTGACCTGAAGTAATTGGAGAAGGTGGCAGCCTCAATGAGACCGTGCTTGAATTTTGGGCTTTATCAGCTGTATTCTGACTCTCACGGGAATCCCTATTGCTACCATTACCCCAGCAGGAAGTCAAACTAACTGGATCTGCTGTACGAGAACTAGATACCGAAGATTTCTCAAAAGGATTAGAACTAGTTACCAAAGATTTCCGGAAAGGATTAAAGCTTGTCCCCTGTGATGCTGCTGATTGAATGCCTTTAAAGTTTTGGTCTCTACCAGAACCAGCTAGTGAAGAGTTCCCAAAAGGATTAAAGTGTGTTCCCTGCGATGCTGCCGGTAGATTAACCTGTAGCATCGCATTCAAGTTTTGACCACCAGTAGGACTAGCTACCGAAGATTTCCCAAAAGGTTTAAAGCTTGTTCCCAGAGATGCTGCCGTTTTATCAGACCTTAGCATCCCATTTGAGTTTTGTACAGTCTCTGACACACCTGGGCTGGTCTGATGGCTGACTTGGCTTTTACCTCTTGCAACATCTGGTGAAGCCTTGGCAAATGATAAAAAATTTATTCCTTTAGGAGTGGTTACTGGTGTTCTCTTTAAAATCTCATTGGAATTTTGAACGGAACTGAATGGACTTTGATCTATTTGGCTCCCAGCTTTGGTACCCATATTCCTATTGGGGGTTACGCCTCCTTGCTTAGACATGCTAGAATGAACCAATGATGATTTCTCAACAGAGGGAAAGCTAATCCCTGTGGTAGCTAGTTCAGGTTTCTTCAAAACATTCTCCGTCACATTCTGTTTAGTATTATTGTGAGAATGGATCCCCGTTGAGAAGCCCAAGGCATGGACATTCTGCTGGGAGGCACCACCGATGTTTACTTGTTGAGACCTGGAATTACTCTGTACCATGGGAGGCTTCAATTCAGTTTACAAGCAGTAGTTTCACTCTCTTCCTTGGATGGCATCTGAGAAACGTTGTAAACTTGATTAGCAATTAAACTTAATTTAGCAGCAAATGTACTAGGTAAGCTCCAGTGATAACTATTCATGATAGATAGCTGGCAAAGATAAAGATGTCACATAGTGTAATGATATACCTTTCCAAGAAGGAGTTACAATGCAGGTGACTGAAATTAACAGAGTATATAGACAAAGTTTACCTTGTGTGAAAACAGACAACTATCACCTCTGCCGCAGAAACCATTGTCTCTGAAATGGTGACAGAGATACTTAGAGAGGTCATGATCATATCCACAGTCATCCCCTTTCATGCACTCATTCCGTGCAAATTTGCCACAGGGCTGCAGCACCAGAATAGAAAATAAGGAAAATTCATTAGACCTTTCATGTATCTTCAAAAGGGCAGTGACTTAGCAAATAGGGCGTATTAAAAACATAGTCGAAGTAGGGAGTACCGTGGATTTTGTTAAGGGCACTGTATCATGTGAATACTTGCACTGGTCACCCTGTCAAACAAAGATAAAATATGATAACAATAAGTCAATAAGCAATAAGCAACAAGAATGCACCCTGCTCTAGGAGATTCGTAAAGTGAAACTCTAGTCAGTTAAACATTCAGTATAATGACACACAAATGATATAACTGAGAACACAATACATACCAGATTGCACTTTCCGTTCAGATAATGGCGGCAATATGCTACAGGCTTTGGTTTTTGTAATGGTTGCAGTTTCAGCCTTTTAACACCAAGTTCCCTGTTCTTCTCTGCCCGTTTCTTTCGTTCTTTTGCCTGTACAATGTATTGTTCATGAAGGAGATATTTATATAAGCCAACAAGGCAACGGAATGCATCAGGACAAGTTCTTACGAATATAACAATAAGATCTCTTCGAAACAAAGTAACAACTGCAAAATACCTTCTTCCTTTCTTTCTTTTCCTTATTTGGAGGACCGCGCTTTCTTTTGTTACAGGCACCAGCATCCCACTGCACACAATAAAAAAGAGACCGGTAACATATGGATCAAAATTTTGATGACGATCCAGCATTAAAAATACTCATTGAATTGCATACAAAGTCTAGAGAATGAAGCATTCAAACAGCTACAACAGTACGAGCATACAACAATGAAACAAAAACTATCCACATGTATGCAATCTTAGGGGAAAAAGAGTATACAAGTGAAACAATACCTTTTCTTCGGACGCGGTTCCATGGTTTCCAGCTGCAGACCAGTCAATACCCATGTCAACTCGATTATCTTTCATTTCAATTCTTCCACCATCTAGCAAAGGATGGGAGTCACTTACATTTTGACCCTGAACAACCCCCGGTCTACAAATCATATCAGTCCTTCTACTTTCCCTCAGTTCCACCCCTCTGCCAATTTTTCCATCCTCAACCACGTCCACCAGAAAGGAACTGGAACCAAAATCCTTGTCATTTACTTCCTCGCAAAGCTGCTCTTTTCTATCAATTACATCTTTGGATATCTGCCCCTTGTGAACCTTCTGTTCCTCAAGTACTACTGTATCTTGCAAAAGCTCATCACTTGGTCTGCCATCCATCCCATTGTCACCAGAAATTTCTCCCTCTTCAATATCTCTATCATCCATATGGTTGGTAGAACTCATTGCCGTTATGTCACAAACTGGTTTCTCCGTTTCCTTAAACTTCTCAGGCATTTCACGTACTACTTCTAAGGAATTAGTTTCTGGTAACAAACTTTTGTTTTTGCTATAATCAGTAGGCTTTGAAGCTTCAGCAACCATATCTTTATTCAAAGAAAAATCAAAGGCTTCAGGGACATTTTGACTAAAGATTTCTGTCTCCTTAATCGCTCCAAGTTCAGTAATTGGAATAGACGATTCGATCGCACCCTCGGCAGAAACAGGAGTCTGTAGTTCCATTGATTCCAGTTGCATTATAGGCTCTACATCCAATGCGCTAGTCTTCGACAAGGAATGTTTGTGTTCAGTAGACTCTCTTGGATTTAAACTTTCAGTCACCTCAACAGTTTTTAAAGATGAACCATGGCTTACAGAAACCATTTGAACCGAATCTTGAGATGTCACAGTTTCTACATGTTCTTCTTCGTTAGTCAACAATGCAGCCTTATCACCGCCATTCTGGTTGTGGTCCAATGATGCGATAGAGGGTTCACGATTCCCTTTCACAACCAACTCTGGCTCATCCACCAGCATTTGCTTAGGAAAAAACCCCATATCTTTTAAATCAATGGCAAGAATGTTTTCTATGTCTATCGTGTCTTCCAGTCCCGAAAAATCCTCATTTTCTTCCACGCTCAGTAAACTCTCTATCTGCTCTATCCTTTCTCGAAAACCATTATCATTACAACACTCATCAGCCACTCTCCCCTTCGCATTGTCAGGGCCAACCAATTCAGCATTCTCCGGCACTTCCTTTTCAGCTTCTTGCACCGATTCGTTGTTGCCATTATCTTAATACAAAATCAAGAACATCAAAATCAGAACAAAAAAAAAAAAAAAACACAATTAGAACTAAGGTTAGGTCATTAATTAAAGAAAACCAAAACTTTGCAACTAAACCTAAACATTCCAATCGCCAAAAACCTATCTTTCACTTTTGGGTTTCGAGCAACCATATGATAAACAATTCAATTCAAATTCAACAAGTAAAATTCATTTTCTCAGTAATCAAACAGATATTAAAGACTGAGCTGTGAAAATTCAAATACCTCGATTAAGCTCTTGAGGTACATTTTGATCGGAAACTGAATGCTGGGACTCCTTGAAGTGAGAGAATATTCGAACCAATGTACGGTACGTTCCGCTGTTGAGGTGCCTTCGACGGTGAGGAGGGAAAACGATTGGAGTTTGGGAGGGCTTTTCGGTTTCGATTTTGTTTTCCTCCATTGTTGCCCAAATTACAAGAGAAATTCGAATTCTTTTAGTCAGAAACCCTAACGATCCATAAGGGTTTTGAAATCTTGTTCAGATATTCAGCGGGTAAGCGTTAACCGCCTTCATCATGTCACCGGGTCATGGGCCGGGTGTACACTCGATGCTTCCAGCCCAAATGGCTAGTTAAGAGTTTTTATTTGTTTAATTTATTTTTCAGCGAAACAAGTTAAGAAGGGAAATTTGGAAAATTAGCCAAATTTTGGAGTCTAAAATTTTGGTGCCTTGTAAATAGTTTCACTTGAATGCACTTGTGCTCGAGTTTCTTCCAACAGAGGATTCAAATAAGACCCAAAGTAATGCCGAACCGATTGAAATGATTAATCTCGTCCACCTGAAAAGGTAAAGGTTCAAAAGCAATACAATGTAAGAGCAACTCCACCCCTATCCACTTTGCGCCAGCACCCAGCCCATTTATCCACTTAATTGAACAGTAATAGACCCAATAAACAGTAATAGGCCAAAACATCTCCACCCCAAAAAAAATGTGCTGGCAACTAGTCTAAAAATGCGCTGGCACAAACGATCTCCACCCCTACAAAATGCGCTGGCACCCGTCCATTTAAAATATTAAATAATTTTTTTATAAAATAATAAAAAAAAATAGTTTTAATTTCGGATAGGATTTTTAACCATCTCGTCACGCCACGTGTCATTATCCGAACGTACCATTTTTTCTCTCAAAGTGTACAAAATATTCAAATGTAGAAAGTGTAGAAAGTGTAGAAAATATTGAAATGTGGTGTAAGGTGGAAGATGAGGGTTAGGTATTTATAGAAAAAAAAAAAAAAAATTTTAAAATTTTTCTGTATTTTTTAAAAAAAAATTGACATTTTTTAATTAATTTTTATAAATTTTAATGTTGTAATTAATCTGGACCGTTGGATTTGAAAAATAATCAAATCCAACAGCCAACACGCTGCCACGTGGCCAACGGTCAAATTTCTGACCGTTGGGCCTTTTTTTTTTTTTTTTTTTTAATTTTTGGTGAAATAAACGTGGACCGTTGATATGTGATCGGACGGTCCAATTTAAAATTTAAATTTAAATTTTTTTTACCGTTGGAAATCCAACGGCCTACAAAAACTAGCCGTTGGAAATCCAACGGCTCTGAGGAGGGCCACGTAGTCCTCAGCCGGATGACTGCAAGTTGGCCTGCACGCGGGCCCCACCGCCTGCAAAGCATGTCGGCTACTCGCCTGCAAACCCGCATGTTGTGCACGCGCCAAGAAACAGACCGGCCTCTGGGTCTGTCCATTTTGGGCTGGGCTGTTGACTGTCACGGGCTGGGTGCCAGTCACTTTTGCGGGCTGGAGGTGATGGACAGGGTGCCAGTCTATTTTTTTCACTTGGTGCCGGTCCAAATGTGTAGGGTTGGACTTGCTCTAAGAGATTGCAAACCAGAGACCATTAGAAAACTAATCACAGGAAACATATGCTACAGTAGGGTTCAAGATTCAAGACCAAAGACAGCAGCTTTGCCGAAACCATGGTGGATTCCTGTTCCCCAACTACTGTACCAATCTCAGCATAGAAACCTCACATAGATTTCAACTTAAAAGGGTTTTTGCTCCTCTGTTTTTATATTCAAATTTTGCTTCAGATGTTCAGCTCCTGATTAATTTTTAGGCTTTTTAGTTTTACTATTCCGTTCAGTTTTCGCCTTCTTTGATTACATTTGAATATCTACTCAATGTATATATATATATATATATATATATATATATATATATGTGTGTGTGTGTGTGTGTGTGTTCCTTAAGGTTTCAACCAATCGTTGTTTTTTCATGGTTAAGAGCAATGAATAATTTCAATCAATAAAGGTATATTAGTACTTTTATGTCAATTTTTAGTTGTAATTATTATAAATTTGAAAGAGTGACTATAATTCTATTTAGAAGGTAAATTTTGGTTATTTTTCTAAATTTTCCAGTTAAGAATTTTTTGACACTTCGGAAGCGTTTCAAATAACATTTGTTAGACCTTAAAACGACTTATGGGTCGAAGCACTTTTTATAAAAGCACTTGGTATATGTTTTTTCAGGAATAACTTAAGTATTTTAGAATTACTTGAAATTTTAATAAAAAAATTGTCATATTTATTATAAGCATACCTCAATAATGTTCATAAACAATTTTTTTTTCTTTCTGAAATGAACAAAAATAATTTCTACATAAGTAAATTCATAACGAGACCTAAGTACTTATCTAGAAAATACTTACATAATTTTTTTTCTTTCTAAACGATGTCACAAACATTTTTAGTTGGCAAATATATTTTGCTTTTAGCTTTTTCAAAATGGGTTAGGGTTAAGGGGATATTTATTTTTTCACACACATTTGAGACCTATTTTGAAAGTCAAACCGTTTATTTTTCAATTTAACATTCATAAATCATCCTTACAAAACATTAGACCAATAAAAAAAGGAAAACTATTAAGACATTCTTTTGTATTGAAGTTTATTGATGAATACGATTTTTCATTTAACACTAAAATAACTATCTTTTAATCAAATGGTTAAATAATTTCAAATTTGAGTAATTTTTTATAGTCATGATATTTGACAGAATATCTAAAAAATAAACAGTTGAATCGTTAAAATGCATTCCAATAAACCTTACAAAATAGATATTAAAATGTGTGTCCCCGATTATGCCCTTTTGCAAACGTAGTTTAAAATAGGCCCCAAGAACTATTCGGTCAAAGCGGTTTTAAAATTAGACCCGAAGAGCTAGAATACGGATCCTATACTTTCTAATTCTCAGTTCCTTAAACCCTGGAAAGCAGATAAGCGCAGTGTGGACTTACTGAGTTTTCCCAGGCGATCGTTTGGTCGAGCCGAGAAAATGGTGGTCAGGATCCGATTGGCGAGATTCGGATGCAAAAACAGGCCGTTTTATCGCGTCATGGCCGCCGATAGCCGATCTCCGAGAGACGGCAAGCACCTCGAAGTCTTGGGCTACTACAATCCCTTGCCAGGTCTTCTCTCGGCTTCTGTGTCTTTGTATTTGATTTCGTAATTTATAGTTTTTTTTCAAACATTTTCGAGTTTCTGATTGCGATTTGTTTAATGGAAGTAGCATGTTTATATTGGTAAAGCAGAATTTACTGAATTTTGTGCAAAATTCAGATGGATGGTGTTTGGCTGCGAAGAAAATGTTTGAAAATTATGTCTACCAGATTTTGAATGTGAACAGTCAGAGAAAGTATTGGGCTTTTTGTCATCTGAGTAATATAGTTAGTGATATGCTAATGCTCTGTAATGTTTATGGAATTTTACAGGCCAAGATGGTGGAAAACGAATGGGTCTGAACTTTGAAAGAGTGAAGTAAGTGTCTTTCGGCAATTCTCATTTCGTATGTTTAATTATCTGTGAATTGCCTGCAGTGGTACTTGTTTATCAGTTAAAATTCGAATTTTTTATCCCCAGTTATTCAAGAATCAAAATCAATGCTTTTAGTTTTAACTTTGGGAAGTTGTGATGTAGTTGATTATATGCTTCTTATTGTTCCTCATGCATATCAGCATATACAAATTATCGCTCGACAGTTAGGGTTAACTTGTAATGGCTTATGTGCCAGTACTGAAGGGTGTGCCGTGTGCATGTTAATCAAGTGTAAATCTTGACCCGCTAATGATGACGGAGGCTACATGTTTTTCGAGTGTATACATATGGAGCATATGTGCTCGGTGCTCACAGAAAAGTTGTCACATTTTGATCAATGGACTATGTTTGTGGAAATTATTGTCAGTTATCTAGATCTCAATCATGGAGTTGCTTTCGTCCAAAAAAAATCATGGAGGTGCTTGATTCTGTGCTTATTGTAATTCTGTGGCTACTTTAAGTTGAAAGTTAAGAAATTGTTTTGAAATACTGAGAAGCCAAAACAACTTTTTCTAGGAGGCTTATGAGATAGTTAATGTCTCCTGTCGTATTTTAGTTTTCTTTTGCTAGAGTATTAGCTGCTAAAGTTTCTTGTGTTTTGAAATTAGGTTTATATACTGTATCCGATAAATTTTGTTCGCTCTTTTTGCAGGTATTGGCTATCTGTAGGAGCTCAGCCTTCAGATCCCGTGCAGCGCATTCTTTTCAGAGCAGGGCTGTTGCCTCCACCACCAATGGTGGCAATGGGACGTAAGGGAGGGCCACGTGACACACGACCTGTTGATGCTATGAGTGGACGGTTCGTGACTCCTGAGAAGCCAGCAGCTAGTGGTGATCAAGGGAAAGATGCGGAAAGCACTGAAAACGTTGGTTAAGACGGCCCAAGATCTTCCATTTCCCAAAATTTATAAGGTCGTTTCGTTGTATCTTTTTGGAGGCAAGAGGGGTTGCAAGAAACAATCTTTCATATTGGATTGCAGGATAAGCGGCTTGTGAAGAGATAACCAGTACTTAACTTCAGATGTAGGCATAAGTGCTATCTAAATAGCTAAAGTGTTCCAGAATACTGTTGTATTGAATGTTTGATTTTGCTTAGTTTGTGTAATGACCTTCAAGCTTGTTCTTGGTATCACCTCATGATCGTTGTCATTTTCTATTTTTCTATGTGAAAATGCAAAGATAATTGAGGCGAGTTTGGGATTGCTTTTGTAGGAAGCACTTTTGCAGCTTTGCTAGGAGTACATTAATTTTTGTTGTTGAAGCACGAGTGCTTCCTGAAGAAGCATATGACAAGTACTTATTCAGAAAATGCTTCTATGACCTAGATGATTTTAACTTTTTCCTTCAAACACATCACGATATTAGAAATTTTCTCAATACATTTTTGTAAGCAAGCATGCGATCCATGATATAGCTGAACGTTAAAACATGCCTAAAAAAATCCTTTTAACATAAAAACACAAGTAATTGGTAACGTATTGGCTCGTTTGGAAGTTCCTTTAAAATAGTTGAAAGCACTTTTGATGAAATGTCTTTGATTAATCCTTAAAAAAAAATGCAAGTAGATTATGAAAAAACACTTAAAATGCTTCCCACAAAAAACACATCACTGGTGCTTCTTGCATGAGGCACTTTAAGCGCTTTTGGATCCTAAAATATTTTCAATCATTTTAAAATCACTTCCAATTGACTTATTCATTAGCTAATTAATGATTTTGTTTGATCGTTTGGTTCAAGACTGACGATCCAACGCAGCCGCATATTTGAAAAAAGAACGTTACTCTTGTACGAGTAAAATCATTTAGTGAATATTTCCTCAATCTACCCAACATTTCCAAATTTTATACTACTGTCAGAGATCCTGAATTCAAATTTTTCGAACCACGTTTTTAGAATAAAGAAGATAAAACATAATTTTGGGCCTCAATGCCACCAAATCAAGCCCAATGTAAACAAGAAAATTAGAAATATTTTAAATTTTGGACAGATCAGCACTACCATCCACAATAATACCCAGAGAGAGAGAGAGAGAGAGAGAGAGAGAGAGAGAGAGGAGAGAGGGGGTTAGGTTTTTAAAAGGGGAGAGAGGATTTAACGGAGGCCACGTTTTGAAATCCCCATTACCCTTTTCCTCCCCCTCCCACCGCTTCTAGGGTTTTAGCTTTGCCGCCTTCTTCTTCCTCCTCCTCCTCCCTCCCTCTCTCTCTGCAAATCGGAATGAGCAGCGACAAGGATAACATCAACATGTCCGATCTCTCCTCTGGTGGTACTCTCTTTCTCTCCTCCCCTCTCTGTTCTGATTTTTGTATTATCCGATCCGGTGATCTTACTCGGCTTCTGTTTTTTTTTTTTTTTTTTTTTTCGTTTCTGAAGCGCTCAACGACGTGGATCGAGCCGGCCTCGTCAATGCTCTCAAAGTCAGTATTCAATTTTCTCGGCAACCAAACAGATTTTTATTCTGTTACTATAGAAGGAAATTTCAATTTTATAGTTTGATTGGATTTCTGTCTGTTTGTTAGAACAAAGAAGTTAAGTGTTTGATTGGCTTATGGAGTTTGTTTTTCTTGTGTGTTTTGCAGAATAAGATAGAGAGTCTGGCCGGGCAGCACTCTGATATCCTCGAGAGCCTATCGCCTGTTGTCAGAAAGCGCGTCGATGTTCTTAGAGAAATCCAGGCATGATTCTCTCTCGCTCTGAAGCTTGTAGTTTAGTGCTTTGATATACTGGATTACTCATAGTTTCATGTCTTTACATACTTTATTTGATTAACTAATTAATAAGATTAAACCCTTGTATCATTTATAATTTTATTTAGTTAGCATAATTTTGATTGATATGACGGATTTCCGCTACATATTATAGTTTAACAATTTTTTACAATTGGAGTTCTGATTGAGGTTTTACTTGGGATTGTGCAAATATTCATTGTAATTGACAAATTGGTTGGAGTTGATATCTCATGAACTGATGGTGTTGTTTGTTGAGTGCAACTTCTTGAGCACTGTTTTAGTATTATGTGATGGGATATGAAAAAAAGTGCGTATATTATCCCGAGTGTGAAACACCCTGAGATTCTCTTTACTTACAGACCCAACATGATGAACTTGAGGCAAAGTTTTTCGAGGAGAGAGCAGCTCTCGAAGCTAAGTATCAGAAATTGTATCAACCTTTGTATACCAAGGTATTCTACTGTTCTACATACCGCACTGATTATGTATCTTATATTGGAACATGAATAGTTCATCCTTGCTGCTTTATGTGGATTCTGTACGACTATGTGGTTTAGTGGCTTGTCACAACTCTACTTGAGCGAGGTAGATGTGGCACCCGTAGCCTGTGTTAGTGTGATTGATCTTATTTTTTAACTGCATTTTAGGTTCTGTTTTGCTTATAGGTCTATTACTATATTGTGCATGAGGAGCAAAACTCCATTTCTTTGTATGTATTTGGTTTTAAAATAATTTGTACTGATCACTCTGCAGAGATACGAGATCGTAAATGGTGTTGTTGAAGCTGAAGGCGTTACTAATGAAGCAGCAACAGATGAAGAGGGTAAAGATTCTGAAGGTATACTCTTAATAGTTATTCAGGAGTCAGAACCCATATAGGTTTTATTTATTGTTGGCAAATATTATTCTTTTGTTTGCGTATTTATTTTGCAGAAAAAGGAGTGCCTGATTTCTGGCTCAATGCAATGAAAAACAACGAAGTGCTAGCTGAGGAGGTGGTTATTTGTACATAAAGTTCTCATATTTAATGTTTATAATTATATTGTTGTTGTCAGCTCAATTGTTTCTTATTTATTTTCCTATCACCAGATATCTGAGCGTGATGAAGGTGCTCTTAAATATCTTAGAGACATCAAGTGGTTTAGGATAGATAACCCTAAGGGATTCAAACTGGAGTTCTACTTTGACACCAATCCCTTTTTTAAGAACTCTGTCTTGACAAAGACATACCACATGATTGATGAAGATGAACCCATTCTCGAGAAAGCAATAGGGTAAGTTCGGTTCCCGCCTTGCCTTGTGCTAAATAGGTTAGGTTTCTTAGTTTATACTTCTGTTACCAAGGTGGCTTATACATGGTTGTTTGTACATACTTACAATATCTGGTACCTGGTGGTTTGTAGGACCGAGATTGAATGGTATCCTGCTAAATGCTTGACACAGAAGCTTCTTAAGAAGAAGCCTAAGAAGGGATCTAAGAATGCTAAGCCAATAACTAGAACTGAAAATTGCGAAAGTTTCTTCAACTTTTTCAGTCCACCTCAAGTCCCTGAGGACGATGAAGATATTGATGAAGATGCTGTAACACTCTCTTCTTTACTTTTTGTTTGTCTTTAAGGGATTTTGTTTGTCTTTAAGGCTTATATTTTTTTTTGTAGTTTCTTATTTGTACCACTTTTTCAACAGGCTGAGGAACTCCAAAACCAGATGGAACAAGATTATGACATTGGGTGAGTTTATAACTTCTACCCGTAGACAGATTTCTCAGCTTGTTACTAGTGCTACATATTTTGGTAATTTTCTAATTCAGTGCATTGTTTAAATTGTTTTTTCTCACTCATTTTTGTGCAGGTCTACCATTCGAGATAAGATCATCCCTCATGCTGTTTCATGGTTTACTGGAGAGGCTATTGAGGGAGAAGATTTTGGTGACTTGGAAGACGAAGATGAAGACGACGAAGAGGAAGATGACGAAGAGGAAGAAGATGAGGACGACGAAGACGAGGAGGATGAAGACGATGAAGATGAAGGCAAAACCAAAAAGAAGGTGCAGTGTTTGTAGAATTTGGATCATCTGTCTCCGCTTGCATTTTTCTCTTCCTTGAAATTATTGTAGTTTGAACTGATGGTTATTGTTTTTTGTGGAATTGATTCTGATGCAGACATCGGCCAGTCACAAGGTATGTTGCCTAGTTGCTTAAATTTGTTTATAAGTTGAAGATCTTATACGAGTTTTGTTGCGTCGAAAATGAACTATTTGTATGCATATACTGATCACTTGTGTTATATAAATGTAGAAGAATGCAAGAGCACAAGTCGGGGAGCAGGGTGAGCGGCCTCCAGAATGCAAACAGCAGTAGAATATGATTGTTTCGGAAAGGTGGGCTAGTAGCTGCGAGTTCTTGTTGGACCTTGAGACTGTTTTGATAGAAAATGGTTGATGGGCAGTTTTATATGGTCAATGTATTTTTTTACCTTACGCTATATGATGAGTGATAGTCGGAGTCATTGGTCTTCTTTTCCATGTTGGTTAGGGGGAATGTGACGAAGATGGTTTGGATGTCATTGTGATCTGTTGACCTATGTTGGAATTTGATGGACAACGTTTCTTAGTAATCTATTAATGATTTGTGTATGATGACTTACATGGAATGGGTTTACTAACACGTGGTGACCCAATTTAGTAAAACAATGATGTGCTGAAATTCAACACCCTACAATTGAAACGGGACACTGTTGGGGGTTAAATCTGTCAACTCATTTCGTATAAGTTGTACTCGAGATGTGGCCTTTTTTCCCTTCCAGTGGATTGTTTAGTTGTTCGCGAGATAGCAACCGATGCCTAAAGTTTCATTATTTTTCTTTTAGGCGCCGGAAGTATTATTCCCAAAACGGTAGAAATGCATTTTTGAATCACATTGCAAGAAATGTTTCAAGTGTTTTTTTCAAGATTCATTTGTTTTTTTAACAAACGGTTCTAAAATCACTTTTCTTTAACGTGCTTTTTTGTCATTTTAAACACACTCTTTTTCAAACACGCTTATTTTTAAGAATTTGTGAGTAGGGTGGGCACTTCAATGGGTTTACCAATCAACCCGACCAACTCAATCGAAATTCGTTGGGCAGGGCTGGGTTGTAAACTTTTAAAAAAATCATTTTCGGGTTGAAACCCAACCACCTGTTCAATAGGTTGGTTGGTTGGGTTGAGGTATTTTTAATCCGATTGAAATCGACTCACATGAATATCAATAATTCTTACACGAATATCAACACTTCTTAAACCTAAATGTATTTACATGACATATACATAAAATTAATTGTTGTTTAAACACATTTGTTTATTTGTACTTTAGTTAAATGATGAAATCTAAATATTAAGTAACAAATAGTGATTCTAAAACGAAATTCACGTTATTTAAGTTTATTATGACGTGTATTTTGGATTATTTATCCTCATACTCACTTTAAGAATAAGAAAAAAAGTAAATAATTCACAACCCGTTGAACCCACCAAAACCAACCCACCTTTGAACGGTTTGATTGACTTGGTTTGTCCATTTTCTTGGAGAGAAATAGGTTTCAATAATGTCAACCCAAGCCTATTGGGTTGGCTAACAAGTTGAAGTCCAACTCGACCAACTCACCCAACATCCACCCCTGCTTAGTGGTGTTCATTTAAAAACATGTGGAGGAATCAGGCTTCCAATTTATTCAACTTCTGTTTTTAAGGAAATCCAAATGAACCAACTTAAAAGGCATAAAGGCATTCTAAGTTGTATGGCGAGTCAATTTATTATTCACTTATACTAATGCGATGAAATAATGTCATGTCGCTATTGAAGGAATGGCTTGGCCTTCACCAGAGCTAAATATTATCTGAGCATTTATCCATGCATTCGAAGTTTATACTATCGTATTTCTTTTCTTTAGTATCGTTTTTTTATGATAAAAATGAAAACAAAATTGGAGTGAGGTTATGGAAAGGCCCATTGTAAAATGGGTCGTGAGCCCAACAGTCAGGTCTCCACTCTCCACTCTGACACTCTTCCGCTTCTCACTGCGATACTCCAGCATTTCAAAAAGGAGGGAAATAAACCCCAAAACCCTAAAACCCAGACTCTCTCTCTCCCTCTTCCTCTGCCAGTGCCTTCATATGCATGGCTTCGGGAAATTAATTTTCCGTCACCTTTTACCTCGCTCATCTCTTCACGAATTTGATTCCGGAGAGAAGCTTGGAGGTTGTCACCTATGGCGAGGCTTCTCCGAAACGGTTTTTCTATGAAACGTTTCCTATTCCCGCCACAGGTTTTCCATTTCTTCATTTGTGAAACACGAAAGTTTTTCTTTCTGAATATTGTAACCTTCTGTTTGGTTACTAGGAAAGTTTAGGAAAAATAGTGTCTGAATTAATCAAAATTATGATTTATGAGTTTCCGGCATCTAATTTTTTGTTTGCTTTGTTTCGCAGGTGAATCAGAGAGGAATATTAGGGACATCTACTCAGTTTTGCAATTTTTCTTCTAAAGGTGCTTGCTTTTAGTTTTTTTTTTTTTTTTTTTTTTTTTTTTTTTTTAATTTAATTTTTCTTGATGCTTTCAATAAGTTGCATTCGGGAAATGTTACATTTTTTGTATTTGTTTCGAATGAATTCGCACATTTTATAAGGGAGTTTTAAGTATATCAAGGAATACTGTATTTGATTGCTAATCAGAAAATAAGAGTGAAACTGGACCGAAAAAGAGACAGTGTGATGGTATTAAGATTTGTTGCAAACTTCAATAACTTTGTGGCCTCGTCCGAACGATTGTATTGCATGAAGTGTATTCTGTATGGCGTGGAATTTTACTGATTGATTACTAACTTGTTATAATAGGACCACTATTATCCATTATGTGCTGACACAAAACATGGTTTGTGCTCCTTATGAGTTAAAAATTTGAAATTCTGTCTGAAGGTAGAAAGAAATCTAAGTCGGATGGAAGTGACTCCTGTGATGAGAATTTGTCGAAGAAGGAGTTAGCCCTGAAGCAAGCTCTTGATCAAATCACATCCTCATTTGGAAAGGGATCTATAATGTGGCTTGGTCGGTCTGTCTCTCCTAGACAAGTCCCAGTGGTATCTACGGGTTCTTTTTCTTTGGACATAGCACTGGGAATTGGTGGATTTCCGAAGGTATCTTGCATACATAATCAGCTAAATGTTTAGGGTCATTATAGCGCTTATAACTTGTAGTCTTGGTCATATGAATGTTTTTTTTTTTTTGCATAGGACGCGAGACAGATTTGACCTTGTACTTCACCACAGAATATGTATTTGCTTCTTGTGATTTTCATTTGTTGAGTTTCTGCAGGGACGTGTTGTGGAGATATACGGTCCTGAGGCTTCTGGGAAAACTACTCTGGCTCTTCATGTAATAGCCGAATCACAGAAGCATGGAGGTTAGACTGACATTTCTTACTATTATTTGGCGGTAAATTAACATATTACACTTCACATATAGAACATGGTATGGCTGTTATATGCGAAAGACACTTACTTTTTCGTTCTTTGTTTCAGTTGTTCGTTATAGGTTAACACAGTACTTCCACACACACACACACATCTAAAATGTGTTTCCAAATCATCTCGGTTTCTTAGAATTTGAACAGGTTTTTGGAGTGTTTATCTGATGCTATCTATCACTGTGTCTCTTCCCCTGCATCTACAGCACCTATATCTTTTTTTTTTCCTTGTTGATCTACTCTAGAAAAACTAGTAAATTTCTCTTATCTTTAAGTTTGAAATGTTGAAGCGAGCCATGCATTGGGCATTTACTTTTTGCGTTTGATGCACATTTAATGGTATGGCTCGTGTGTAAAATATAAGTTCTTCATGTTTCAACATTTACTAATGAAGAATCAATGAGACCATCTTTTGGTGTGGGTTACACTGTTGATGTCAATTAACATATTAATAATCTTCCGTTGGTGATTTTTCTGTTGGCTGCTGTCTGTCATGATATTGAGTTTCTTGTTTTATGCAACTTAATTTATGTAGGGACATGTGTTTTTGTTGACGCTGAGCATGCTCTTGATCCTACGCTGGCTCAGTCTATTGGGGTAAACACTGAGAATCTGCTTCTATCACAACCTGATTGTGGTGAGCAAGCTCTCAGTCTTGTAGACACTCTAATCCGGAGTGGTTCAGTTGATGTTGTTGTTATTGACAGTGTAAGTAAGGTGCTTTTCAGTAACGTTTTGTTTCCATGTTCGTTGAGATGTGTTCTTATAATTCTCTTTGGTTTTTGTTCTTATTGAATGTTTTTCACCTTTATATCATCTCATGAGGTTTTTGTATATGTTTTTAGACAGAGTTTGTCTTTTCCGTTGTACGGTAGATGAATGCTTTCCATATGATTACAGGTGGCCGCACTTGTGCCTAAAGGTGAACTTGATGGCGAGATGGGTGATGCTCATATGGCAATGCAGGCTAGACTAATGAGCCAGGCACTTCGCAAATTGAGTCACTCTTTATCTCTATCACAGACAATATTAATCTTTACAAATCAGGTACCAGTGTTCGTTCGATTTCACTATTATGTATGATACTATTATGCAACATACAAATCTTTTCATTTTGTGAAATTTATATGGTTTCACTTCACTTGACTTGTGTGAAAACTTTTGTATATAAACTTCCATTTTCTAAAACTTATGGATTTATTATCTGAAGATAATTTGATATTCACCATTTCATGAATATTTGTTCAGAGCTTAGACATCTCTAATTGTTTGTCTATTTTTAGGTGAGGGCAAAGCTTTCTACTTTTGGAGGATTTGGTGGGCCAACTGAAGTTACTTGTGGCGGCAATGCTTTGAAGTTTTATGCTTCAGTGCGCCTTAATATGAGGAGAATAGGACTTGTAAAGAAGGGTGAAGAGGTAGGTACCGGTACCATTTTTCAATTTTGTTCATGAATTTGAACTTCGCTTCTTGGAGTGAGGTAGTTCGCCTGGTAGCCATTACCTAGGCTTATTTGAAAGTTTGAATTGTCGTTGAGTATCCATTTAATGAAGCCTGAAATTATCTTGGTTTTATTTAGGCTACTTTCAGTGACTATCCAGTCATCTGATAAAAAAAATTACCTGAATAGAGTAACATGGCCTATTTACATGTTGTTTTGTGCATTTTTTTTTTTTTTTTTGGTTTGAGGATTAGATGCTATGTTATTTATGCATCCTTTTCAAACAAGTTAATTTTCCATGCAGACTTTAGGAAGTCAAGTTCAAGTGAAGATAGTGAAGAACAAACTTGCCCCTCCATTTAGAACTGTTCAGATAGAGCTTGAGTTTGGTAAGGGTATATGTCGGGAATCAGAGATCATTGATTTGGGATTGAAAAACAAATTCATCACGAAGGCTGGTGCAATGTATGACTTAAACTGGTCAAAGTTTCCGTGGCAAGGATGCTTTAAAAAGGTTTTTGTCCGAGAGTAGTACTGCTCTGGAGGAACTTACAGCAAAGCTCACGGAGAAGCTAGTTGATGATGTGGCAGCCAGGGAAGCAGAAACAGAACTCATGGGTGAAGGTCCTGCAGAGGAAATTGTTTCACCTGATTCTACTGACGAAGATGCAGTTACTGCAGTAGGAGCGTAAGTGTTCGGATGGCCTCAAACTGTGGAGATAAGTTTTTACCTGTTTTACCTGGCAGGGTTCGATGCTATGGGGGAGCGGCTACTGCATTCTCCCAAGCAGCTAGTAGAATCACCTGCTCTCCTTGGAATGACATGGATGTGGTGAAATTTTGTGGGTTCAAAAGAGGGGAATTTGGGAAGGATGCAGCTTGTCATTACTTGTTCAGCTACAGTTTGTATGTCAGTGAGGTCAGTGTTATATATCATTTGATTTACCAAACGGAATGTTATATATTGTTTAGTGAATTCTATTTCGAGCTCTCGTTGCCGATTTTTCTCACCACTTCAGACTACTTGTTGACGTAGTTCTCACATCGTCCGACTAGTACATTACCCTGTCCGGGTGGTAATTTGGGAATGAGCAGTCGAACATTATCGCTGCACACGCACTACCACATCGATCATCAAAACTTTGAATCCGGCACACTGCGACTTTAAGCACACACGACTGGTATTCGCACTCATCTGTTTTCGTAAATTTGGAAACGGTTGATCTCGGACCATCGCATAATCATACCATCGGTGCAGATCAAAATCTGTAACCCTACGCGATGGTCCAAGATGGAACAACAAATTATTTGGTGGTCTTCCCAAATACCGTATTCACATATAAACTAACGACGGAAATAAAGAACCAAAAACGTGTAGAGTAATAAGAGTAGGCTTTCCATAAGCCTCTCAAGCCTATATATGATGTATGTCCAGAACAAGCAGGCTCCCGCAGAAAATGCAGTGAATGATAAATGAGTAAATTGTTATAGATATTATATTAAAGTATGATTGTGTAAATTCTAGATAGATTTGATTACTAATTATTTTTTTTCATTAAAATTGTATTTTTTTGAAGGAAAATGATTCTTCTCCTCCTTGTTACTATAAATAAAGGCATTAGGGGAATAACTCCTTCAAAATATCACATATTTCTCCACCCCTCTCTCCCTTGCCAGATAAATTGTTCACAACACGTTTTCAGCACGCTTCTTCGCTGCACTAAAGAATCTGATGTGGAATTTTTCTTCATCAAACCAGTTTATTAATATCATCACGTAATCAGATTCTTCCAAAACAACGATTTTTATCTTAATATTCTTGCAGCCTTGATAACATGAATATGAACATTCACTGTAATGCATGATTCAATTTTACGTTTACGAAATTTAAATTCTACGTAAATTGTATATGCATTATATTCATAATTGTTAAATTTTGTGAATTGATATTGCTATGAATTATATATATTGAATATGCATGAATTGAATTAAAATTGAAAAAATAATTAAACTTTAGGGTTTTGGCCTTCAACAATGCCTCGACCCACGGGTCACCGTCCCCGACGACCAGAAGCTCGTCTCCGACGAGCCTTGACTTCGAATCTCATCGGAATTTCTCGAAAAATCCGATTTGATTTTCTAGGGTTTTGGTTTTTGAAACGTTGAGATTTAACCTTTCTCCGTTCACCACCGTAGTCGCCGTTGAACCACGATCTTTCCATGAGGTTTTCCCAGCCAAAGCATTGCCGCCGGAAACGATGGCTCCAATTTCTTCCCCGGTGAACACACCTAGCACGGCTAGGATTTTTGGTTGGACCAAACCACGACCCTTTGGTTTAGCCTGCAGTCGCGGCCTGTTTCCACTCTTGCTCAGCCCATGCGACACCAGCCCACATAGGCTTTGGTGTCTCTGCCCTGCGCCACACTCGATCCCAACCTTGTGCTGGTGCATACGTTCTCTGCGCGCACGCAATCCCAGCCAGCAGCTGGTGCATCGGTGCACCGCACAGGATCCACGCCCATTTTGGGTCTCTGATCTCTTGGGCCTACAGCCTACACCTCTATGAAATTGGGCCTGCCAACTAGCCCAACTAGATTTCAGCCCAGTTTTGGGCCTAGGCCTCACAGTACTTATGTGTAAAGACCACCCGTGGGCTTTGGCCCATTTTTTATTGTCTAGTTTTTCGGCCTTTGGGGTTTTTAATTTTTTCGGCCAACCTCTAAATTTGGCCCCAAGTCCTATATTTAATTCAACTATTATCGTAGGCCCCGAAGACTTACATGCATATATTTGTTGCATATGTTTTGTATTTATTTATGTTTGTTTGCAGGTACGCATGAACCTGAAGTTCATAAATCTTTCGAAATCCAAAGTTTTCGAAAATATGCATTTTGAAAACCCAAAGTTTTCTTAAAACATCACTCATGAAAACCTAAAGTTTTTCATGTAAATTTCAACCAATACATGTCTATTAGAACCCAACTGCTATGTGAATGGATTGATTTGTCTCCATTACACTAATCACATTCTCGTCCATTTATTTTTGACAGGACATGTCAAATTTATACAAACTTGACTTTATTGCTTTAGAGGTATCGAAAAGAAATTACCTCAAGTGGGTCCAAGATGTGAAGCTCCACCTTATCGCTAAGAATTTACGAGCATCCATTGAAGTTGAGATGGATAACTTGGTTGGCAAAGCTGAGAAAGGTCACTGCCATGATCTTCATCTAAAGACACACATTCATGATGCACTGCAAACTGAGTACCTTACTGAGGAAGATCCATGAGCTTTATGGGTCATTTGGCCGATCGTTTTGATCACTAAAGGGACATCTTCTTGCTTGAAGCAAGACACGATTGGTAGCATTTGTGCTTCGAGGACTTTAAGTCTATAAATGAATTCAATTCTAAAGTTTGTCGAATCTGATCACTACTCAAGTTCTGTAACGAGAACTTGATCGAAGAGGATCTCCTAGAGAAGGCCCTTTCGACCTTCTCTACTGATCAATATTGTCTTGCAACAACAATATAGAGCTCAAAAGTTCATTAAGTTTTTGGATTTGATATTTTCTTTACTTCTTGCGCAGAATCAGTTGTTGATGAAAAATCATCAAGCTCGACCTACTGGTGCAACCACTATGCCTAAAGCACATCATAGTGAGAATCGATGCCTGAACCACCGTTCTAGGCGTGTTAATTATGAGCTAATTAACAAATTGATTGATATTATTGCACCACATTAATATGTTTATCCAAGAATGATAATGCTTTGTTCATTATCCGAAATTACCATTTCATGTACTTTGCATTTTTAGATAATCTTTTACTTAACTCTTTTCCCCCCTACAATTGTAATCACAACCAACAAACAATGCTACAATTAAACAATATTAATGAATTTCAAAAAAACTTTGTTGGTTTACCATTTCCATATAAAATTAGGAAAAGATTGTAAACCAAAACTTTCAGCCAACCCAGGGGGACTACAAGTGAGAAAAGTACTAAGCCCTTTAGAGTGGGAAAAGCTAATAGTATTGCTCCCTAAAAGCCCACTAAAATAACAACTCTAAACTTTGCTAACATAGCTTATAATTCTTATAATTCAGGTTAATTAAAAGTATTTATCTTTACACTTGAGATTTTGTATTCGAATTACTTTCCCATTTAGATAAATATGGTTACAGCTATTAACAATACTACAGTTATCCACCGATTTGACCTAAGTTACCCATTACTTTGATCTTATTTTACTAGAATTATTAACAAATTCTACCTTTTTTTATGAAAATATTTAGATACTTTATTAAAAATCGATTCTACTCTACTTACTACTAATTTTTATCTTTGCAATTATTGGAAGATTTCTACAGATTAATTAAGTAGGATGGCAGAAGGTTCGTAAAATTAAATTAAAAACTAACATAACTATTCTATATCTTGAACAAGTGCATGCCACGCACAACAGGGTCAAAACCGCCGTCTCCAAACCCCTTTACTAATTCCCTTACAAGACCCTAGAATTTCAAAGCAGATATCGTGGCCAAATGACTAGAGACAAATGGGATTTAAATATCATTAATCTAAGATGTTTGATACATGAATCCTATCTCAGCCTCAACCACTCCACTTGACGTGGCAGATGGATGTAGCTGCCAGCTGTGAAAATGTTATAAGTGGTTTTGAATGTAGCTGCCAACTGTGAAAATGTTATAAGTGGTTTTGAAGCAACAGGAAGATCCTCGCGAGGATTCTGAATATCTTTTGACCGCACGATATATAATAAATAGATGTGATTAAAGGATCTTCAAAATCCTCACAAAAAGAATCAGGAAGAATCCCCTCTCTTGAAGCAACTATTGAAAAAGTGAATATTTGACGAACCAATAGTCCAATACTTTGAATACTGTTTTTCTGCATCATGAACCAATCTCTTTTTGGTCGTATTGGCGGTTTTCTTTTTATTTGCAGTCAATTTGGGCAACATAAATTCGTACCAAGAAACAAAGAACTCAAAAAAGAGAAGATGGAAAACAAAGACTTATATTTGGTGGGCTTGACTGACCCCCGACTGCTGGAGCTACCAACAAAAACCATCCCAAGCTCCCAACAATTGTGGTATAATTAACAGATGATTAAATAATAATATAGAGAAATGTTCAAGAGATTCTCGAAATGAAAGACAATCTGACATCTCATATTTTAACGTTAATTTTCGTGTTAATATTATAAAAATTATGCAAAAAACATAAAGTAACAAATAGTCTATAAAGATTCTATTTTTTGAAAAAAAAAAACTCTTTAACATTTCTCTGCAATATAAATCTCTTATGAAGAAAAGACAAATTAGTGAAAGAAACCATTAAAACTGTCACCTTTCTATAAAAAAATCTTAAAAGTATTCTACACTTTTAATCGAAGAAAAATATATATTAGTTTTTGGTCAATAAACACAATGAAATGAATGAAATTGATATGTTTGATTAAATGGTGGCTATCCCAGATGTGATAGGGCTCGAATTGGGAAGCATCGATGGGCAAAAGTAGAATGCAATCCATATATCAAAATCTTGACTAGTCCTACTATTTGGACCATAATAAAAAAAAAAAAGAAAAAAAAAAAAGAAAAAAGAAGACTAGTCGATCCTACGTACTAAGTCAGCAACCACCCTTCTCACTGCTTCCTGGAAGGCAGTCTCGTTCCATTCGGTTCCCTGTGAAAAGAATAAAGCAACTACTCAATTTCCTTCTAATTTCCCTTCTCATTGCTAATCAGTGACCTCATTAAACCCTTCAATTATTTGTGTAGTTAGCACATTAAATCTACAACAATCAAAGAAAACTCAACCTAGGTTAACATTGGTCAACATACAATTAACAAGGCTACATATCAACTCTCTCAAAAGCAAGCTTGTAATTTAGGTGGTTACAAGCGTTTATCTTTATACTCAATCTCCTATGTTCAAATCCCTACGTGTACGTATTATTCCATTGTTTTTTGCTGTTTTAACTTTTTGTAGTTGTAAAAGCTTATAAAAGGTGTTCTGTATACCCTAGGTGAATTTCATTCACACATGCTTCAATACCAGGGAGCATTTTAATAATCAATGCGTTTAAGAAATTTGTAAGTATTTTATTACATACCTGATCAACTCTTAATCTCAAGATTACGCGGTTGATGTTAGAATTTGATTCTGATATCCAAGTATTGGCTTCCATGGACATCAAGCTTACATTCTCAACCCGCTTCAAGAATTCCAAAATGCGGATCACCATATCTTCGGTGCAACTCTCTTGTGATCTTAGAATCACTTGCAAGTCAATAATTTGCTCATCTTGATCCGGGGATGATTCGGTTGATACACGCGTAACCGTAAGACTAACTCTTTCATTTGAGGAGCCTGCAGCTGCTGCTGCTTCATTAGCTCCTAAGCTGGTAAGTGGCAAGAGCCTTGCCTCTAACTGCTGGTTTCTTTTGCTAAGCTCAGCAACTTGAGCTTTTAAACTAGTCAAGTACTCCCTTGCAGTTGTAAGAACTGAGGCTTTGTCTTTCTACACAACCAAAAAATTTAATTAATCACGATTGCAACGAAACCAATATATATACCAATGCAAAAAAGAGAAAGATGTTCTAATGCATTGCCCAACAAATGTATAAATTAATATATAGCTATACTGGACCGTATTTGACTGAACTGGAATACTAAAACTACGCTCAATATAATCTAGTTTAGTATTGTTTATTGTAGTCCAATTCAATCCAGTACGGTCCAATATCCTTTTATACAACAGAGTATATATGCATGTTAAATACCTTGGTTCCCGGAGGAAGTAGTGATTTCAATTTATGAAAGCTTTCATTGAGCTTCTCACGCCTTTTGCGCTCTGATATCATATGATGCAACTGGCTGCTTGTGGGGCGGGTGGCTTGGATACCTTCGCGAAGCCTCATTAGATTCAAGCTTCTCAAGAAGGAAATGGATCGCTTGTGCATGTTTTGCAGGCGTAAATTAGCACCCATTTGCGTTCTTGGGGCTAAAGCTGAGGTGTTGTAACTCTTGAAAGCACTGGCCTTTGGAGTTTGCAAGTGACGATCAGTAGTAGAAGAAGAAGAAGGTGGATTAGTTTGTGGGGTGGTTCATATGAAGAAGAAGATAGAACTGTAAGGATGGCTCTTGTCATCGTGGCATCTTCGATCTCCGGAGTTGGGAATTGGACTGTTTCGCATTTGAGAAATTGCTTGAATGGCTTGTTGATGAGGACTAGTAGCACCAGTAGAAGAAGTAGTAGTAACGAGATTTATGGTTGGTAAAGGTTCCAATGAACTAGTATTGATTGGTTGCAAGGGATTGGAAGATAATTGTGTAAAGAGTTCTGGGATGTTATGAGAAATAGTAGTGGTGGTGGTGGGAATGTTGAAGAGGAGGGAGGAATATTCAGGACTATCCATTGTGGAAAGTGATCTCAAAGAAGATGAAGATGATGAAGCTGGATATTGTTGCTGACCGTTGATTGACCTGCTGGCAACTTCTGTATGTGGAGATAATTGTCCTTGAAAAACTTCTGGCAACCAGGTTCTCATCATTTCTCTTTTTATATTTATCTGCAAAACAACAACAAATAAATTAGTTAATTATAAACCTCAATTATGCATTAAGATTCTTAATATAATTAAAAGCCACTTGGATCAGCCTGGTGGGGGCGGGTTATGGTAGGGTCAGGGTTCGAAACCTCCGTGTAACCAAATTTTTTGCATAAAAATAATTCCAAGTTAGGTTATGACTTGGCCTTACTTGAGACACATTGGACAAGCCCAGCTCAATTTCTCCACTCTTGCACCCCATGAAAACTGCAGTCTGTAATTTAAGAGGAAACTATAAGAGGAAAATACCGATTAATTAAGGATAATGCTTGTGTTCCCCTTATGCGGGAACCTACTTATTTCCTCCCTCTCGATTAATGAATCTTTACCATCAGAATATCATAATCGGAATAATTCATTCTCTTTGTCATCATCTAAAGATCATATATGCAAAAGTGTTCAATTTGGAGATTTTTGTCCATTAGTTAATGTTGTAGACCAATATGAACAAACCTTAATCCTTGCTTCCTGTTACAAGCAGATTAAAAATACTCAATTAGCGCACGATATCTTGCCTGAGTAAATTAATGAATGTACTTCAGATATATTTTAAATTAGTTACCCGATAAAATTGCCTCTGTTTATCATCTGATGCCAGTCTTTGTAGGTCCATTTCTTGCAACTCCACAAATGAAAAACTATTCCTGAAAGCGAATCCTGGAACACATCTGATCATGTACATATATACATGCAGCAAGAAACTTATGAGAGAAATAGCAACATTAATAATTAGAAGCAAACCAATAGGCTTAGTTACGCACTCGTTTTCGAGGACTTTGAAAACTGATAGCCGATACTCATCGAAAAGCCGCCGAGCCAAAATGCCGGAAGAAGAGCTTGGTTGATTTTCTTCATCATAGACACCATCGAGAAAGAATAAGCAGCTGCACGAACACATCAAACCAACATTAATACGAGCTCCTTCAACATTTGATGTGTGTGTGAGACGGAGAGTGAGAGAGGAATGATGCATACATACTTAGAAGGAGGTGGCATATAAGACCACAGGCAAATGTAAAAGCAGCCAAAAGATTGCATGACAAGTCGAAGGAAATTGGCGCGAGAACCTTCATCTAGGTGGAAGGCAGTGTCCATAGACAAAGGTGGGAAATGGGAGTCTCTCTGGATCTCCCCGCTACACTTCAATCGACCTTTATGTCTTTTGGTCATGACTATAGGATGACCCTACCCAATATGTGTGCTCCTTATTCATCTTGATTTATATGCAGAACCTGATGAGCTACAGAGAATAAGAAGAGTCGTTTAACTAGAAGGTGGCAAAGGGAAAGTCATAATAAGATAACAAGTATAGGGCTTAGCAAACCTGAGTTTAGCTAAGTTGGCTAGATCAATGTATTCTTATTATGCACCTAAGTTCTTCTCCTGGATGAATTTAATGTAGAATATACTATCGCTTGTCAAAATGAAAAGTATAGGGCCAAACAGCATGAATATATGTTGGGGAAAGATGTGAGCAGATTAATAGTGGCTTTAATCATGGAAGAAGCTGGCACAGATGAGGGAGATTTGAAAAATGGTGATATTTATACACATAGATAAGAATATTAAAAGAAAGCATTCATATTAGTGATGGAAGAAACTGAAAGAGGAAGAAGAGGAAGGAGACAGGTGATGAGAGAGAAAATTAGATGTTTCTAGTTCGTAAGGACTTGAAAAGTAATAAGGATGAGAACATGAAAAGTAGTAGTACTGGTAAGCAAGTTAGAGAGAGAGAGAGAGAGAGAGAGAGAGAGAGAGAGAGAGAAGCAGCCAGGGAAGGAGGGAGGGAGAGAGGGAGAGGTAGGTTAGAAAAGTAGCGGTCAAAGTCCACCCGTGACTCAAGAGAGGATATATGCCTTAATAAGTTGTACATGTGGAATTGAAAAGAGTCAAGGGAGGAAGGCAGACTCCCCTCTATTTAATTTTTTTCTACATTCCAGCATTAAAAAAAAATTCTTCCCCTTTTTATAAAACTTTCAGTGTTCTGTTTATTTTATCTACCAATGAACTTGGTTTATGAATTTCACCATGTGGGTATGAACGCTCTTTCGCAACACCTTCTTCTGTCGCATTTAAAAATAAAGGGATCGATCGATGCAAAGGTTTGTCTAAAGGTTTGTGACGTTTGTCTAGACTTTGTTTGAGTAGATCTTCTGGCGCACCTAATATTGAATTACAGAATCATCTGAAGCTTCTCTTTGATTAGGCATATTATAATGCATTGAGGACGAGTATCTACGAGGGCAGTTGAGTTGACTACATTGATTTAATATACACTATGTTTTTAGTGAATATATTTAGTTTTAGCAAATAAGTACAAGTCAGTTAATACAACGCTAAATATTTATTTTGAGTTCACACTGTATTTTACTGAAAAATCACACTTGCAAATTTTTACTCAAATTAAAAAGCATTTAGTTATCTTACTTTGCACTATATACAAACAAATATATATTTTCAATAAAAAATCGTGTTAACAATAAAATTTCTAAACGAAGGGTAGTGCTCTTTACAACTATACTATGAATTAAAAGAAGGGTAGTGCTCTTTACACTTTTTTTTACCTCCCACATTCTTGTTAATTTTTATTCATTAATTTTCTTTAATTTATCCGATCAAACGACTGAAAATTAAAAGAAGGGTGTGAAAGGTAAAAATAGATATGTGGATAACACTACCCTTAAACAAACTTTCTTTATCAGCATGCTTTAAAGAGTAATGCTACACTTACCATATATTTGTACCATCATTTGTACCATCTCTTTAACAGAGGTAGTAAGGCCACCAACATACATGTGGATCTCATCTCTATTAGAGAGATGATACAAATGAAAATAAAAATATATGGTAAGACTAACATTAATTTTTGAGTTTAAATGTCAATTATTTAAACAAGTTACTATGAAATTAAAGGTAATTATAATAATTAGGGTAAATATCATTTTACTACCCTCAAGTTTCGTGGTTTTCAACATTTTGTACATGAAATTTTTTACGTCTCAGAGTCATACCTAAAGTGTTAATTTTGGGACAGTCTCATACATCCGTTAGTTAAACTGTTAAGTCTGTCGTTAATTGATGACGTGGCGCCAATGTGAACAATGACGGAACGTCACATGTCAATATGGGCCCACGTGATATTAAAAAATTAAAAAATTAAAAAAAAAAAAAAGTTCTAGGCTTTCACCTCTCCCGACCCCTTCCCTCCCTCACCCTCCCTTCTCTTCCCTGCACCCATCCTCCCTGCACACCCACCCATTCCACTCCTTATCCCGCCCTTCACCCACCCACGTTCCCACTAATCCTCTTCCCACCCTGATGGTGAAGTGCTCCTGCATCACACCTCATGGTCTTGGGTTCGAAGGTTTATGTGCTTTTGCTACTCTACTGTTGCCTTTCTCTGGAAAAACAACCTTTTTCTAGGAAACCTTTTTATAGGAAGCTCCCATGATCGCCGTCCGAAGCTTCCTCCTTCGCGACAGAGCACGAATCGCAAGCCGACATGCGTCCGGAGGTCCTGAGGCACTCTCTGCCCTAGAAGATCTTCCACAATCTTCCGAAGCGACGTCGTCTTTGGACACGGCCTCCCAATGGGTTTTTGAATCCGATTCCAAGAACGGCCATTTCGTGTCTGCCGAGGCTCTCAACCCTCTGAGGGCTTACCTGTCCCTGCCCCAAGTCACTTTTGGCCCCAAAAGGTTTTCCCTTTTTGTTATAACTTCTAAAAAATGTGGGAAATTGAAGATTCTTGGACTTGTTTGGTGGAAAGAGAAGGGAGGGAGGGTTGGGTGGGCGGGAGGGATGGATTTTGGGGTTTTGGGGAAGGTGAAGGCGCTAGGTTTTGGGGATGGGGAATAGGCTTGGTGGCGGGGGTGGGTATCAGGGGAAGGGGGAGGGTGAGTGCAGAGGAAAGAAGGGAGGGAGAAGGAGGGGAATGGGGTGTGCAGGACGATGGGTGCAGGGAAGAGAAGGGAGGGGTGAACCCCCAGATTTTTTTTTAAATTATAATTTTTTAAATTTTTTTAATATTCATGTGGGCCTATATTGACATGTGGTGCTCAATTATTGTCCATGTAGACGTCACATTATCAGTTAATGGTAGACTTAACAGTTTGACGGATGTATGAGACTGTCTCAAAATTAAATACATTAGGTATGACTTTGGAATAAAAAAAACTTTATGTACTAAATATAAAAACCATGAAACTTGAGGGTAGTAAATGATATTTACCCTAATAATTAAATTTTGAACTTTAGACTCACTCCCTAATTTTGAGTTTATGCTAAAAACAAGCTTCGATCTTAAGGGTAAATAAGCACTTCCATTTTTCTAGTCTGTAATCAATCTAGAAAAGTCCCATAAACAGTTGGAAATAATTTGTCTGCTTAATTAGGGCATATGCTAACATCGTAACTTCACTGTCTAGACTAAAATAATTTCAAACTCAGTTGAAAAGCCATACCGATGACTAAGGGGAGAGATTTTTCAGTGTGACTGGTACACAAAGTGGTATACCACGTGTCACTAAATAAATGGTGGGATATGTGTGCTAAAAGTTAATAACTTAAAAAATAAAACTTGCCACCATTCTATTAAAACACATGGTGTACCACTTGTGTTCCGTCACAACTAAAAATTTCTCGACTAAGAGAAGAATGGATGGAGTGGATGGAAACAGCGCACCAAAATACTTAGGTATTGCTGCAATCTTGATAGCCAGTTATGGTGGAGATATAGGAGTTTATGTCTAGGGTTTTGAAAAGGAAGAAGGAAACAAAAAAGAAACGAGCAAAGCAAACAAGATAACAAGAAGCCAATTAGTTGTTTAAGAAGCTAGTAGAACACATCTTATTGCTTTTTTGGGTTCCACATTGCGAATGGAGGGAAGGGATGGAATTGAATGGATGAAATGATCATCTTAGCCTCATATGTGAGTTTTACGTGTAGGTTACTAACGGAGGAACAACATAAGTTTTTAAGTTTTTGACGTGAATTCTAATCGACTTCACCATAGGAGTTTAAATTCAAATTTTATTAACACATGAGCTATCTTCCGAACACCTTATGATCACATAGATTATTTATCTAATTAGGCCAAGAATAAAAAAACATAGTGGCTCCACTCCACGTTGTCATCTTTAATTTCTTAAGCCAAATGCTTGACCGGCGCATATATTCTTTGGTGAGAAATCGTCGAACGGCGATTGTTGAGAGAATCGTAGCCACCACCAGTTCATTGACCGCAATTGACCCTGATGGGCTTGAGACTGATCCTTTCCTCTTCTTTTTGTATCTTGTAATTCATATATAGTATGCATAAGCAAAAATAAAGAAAGGATAATCGCTCGCCTATCTTTTACACCTAGTGCTCTTGTAAGTAAAATAATATTACGTTTTGTATCTTATATTTGGTCCTTCGAACCTGACATTTTGGCTCCGCTCCGAAGATAAAAGTATTAGCTGCCAAAGTCTTCTCATCTTCTTAGTCTATAGTTTTAGGGATTAATATATTTCTTGTCCCAAACCTCTCTTGGATTAGTTAAATGCAACAGGCATGAGCCAAAGAATAGCTTCATGTCAATCATTGTTTTCTATTACTTGTTGGTTTTACTCCCCAAGGTGACGAATAAAAAATTTGTTATTATTTATTCTTATTTTGAACAAGCTATAATTTATTCTTGCCCTTTCACATTTGTTTCTTTATTTATTTTATTTTTATTTTCATTTTTAAAGGAAGGTCAAACGGGGACGTCGGGGAGGATGATACAAACTCTAACCTTTGGGTGTGAAAAACTGATAGACAACATGAATAACAAAATAAAAAAGAACATGTTCCTATAAACTATCCAATAAATAGAACACTGGGTTCACATTGAAACCCTTAAACAATTAAGCTTCAACGCGGATGCGTCCACTGTTTCCGAAAAAACGTAAGTGTCATGGAGCAACTTCGCAAAGTTATTTCCACTAGTGAAGCCATAGAGGCTCAAGGAGTTGCAGGCGCACGTCCGGTCGTCGAAATTCAACTCTAAGAGCGAGAATCCGCCTTCTAAATGTCCATCGTTGTAATGAATGGCAGGGAGGGAATTGTGGCTCCAGCGATGTCCAATATGCTTGCATCACTTATCGATCGAATTGTGAATGCTTGTATGCACTGTTCTAAAAATTCCTACTAACGCTAGGTAAGCTGTTCACCGCCCTAGTTAATCTCTAAACTTTGAAAATTAAGAAACGGCGCCTAAACTTCCTTAAGCGCCCACTCAGCCCGACTAGGTTGCAACTCTTATTTAGATAGAAAATCAATAACTTTCAATTTGGACTTTATTTGTTCAATATATTGTAAGAGACTTGTTGAATACTTGGATGAACACTCATTATACACTTGTTTCCCATATTTTTAATATGTTATAATACTGTACTCTATGCATTTATTTTGCAATTTATGTATCTCAATACAATTATGTATTTTTGTTAATATATACTATATATAATAAAGGGTAAATTGCCAATTCAGTCCCTGAATTATCACCTAAGTGAAAATTAGGTCCCTAAACTATTTTTTTTTTCAAAAAAATCAATCCTTGAATTATAAAAATTTGCCAATTACATCCCTAATATTAGATTCGAAACTGCTTTATTCAATTTTCTGTCAATTTAAGTCACGTTACTTACATGCGATACACAATAGGGTAGATTAGTAATTTGTCATAAAGAAAAAGTGTATAGAGTTAACTTCAGAGGGTAAATTAGATGATAGGCTCACATCCTATATGAAATGTTAAGGGCTTATAGGTGAGAAAGTGACAATATTACACTCTAAAGAGTGTCAAGTGACTTAAGTTGACGAAAAATTGGATAAAATAGCTTTGAATATAATAGTAGGGATGAAATTAGCAATTTTTAATGAATTTAAGGACTTATTTTACCGAAAAAATATTCAGGGACTTAATTTTCACTGACGTGATAATTCAGTGACTAAATCGACACTTCACCCTATAATAAATTTACTTAAATCCTCCTAGGCCCCACCTAGGCGCTAGGTCCAACCCATCGCCCTAATAGCATGTAGCGTCTTTTAAAACCTTACTTGTAGGTCTTGTTGTGTTCTTTTATCATAATCGACATAGTTGTCCTTCAAATAGTAGAGCAATTAACAAGCCCATATTAAATTAGAAAACTAATAAAAATGACTTGAAAACTTTGAGTTTTAACGATAAGGACAAAATACAGGGTAAAGTGAATAGTACCATGATTGACTTTATAGTGTAAAAATATGGTTTTTCGTTAAAGTGAACAGTACCGGGAGCTTTTCGTTAAAGTTCCCTATTAAATTTTGTTTGATTGATAAGTTAATATAAAATTTATTGAATTGATAATTTAAATTTACATTATTTCATTTGCATAATCTAAAGTAATTGCTGATTTATATGAATTTTTGTTAGTTTAATTTAAATTAAGATATAGATTAATATAATATAATTAATTGATATTATATACTTTTTTTTTTTTTTTAAAGAGGGATAACTGGTGGCAAGCCACGGTTATCCACACTTTCCGCAGGCCGGGAAGACTCGCAGAGGCATTTCAACCTCCCCCTGGCCATAAGTCTGGCTTCCACACATTTTGCCACTCTCCCCGACAATTCCTTGTTTCGCCACTGGTTATTTCAGTCACCAAGTGAAGGTAGTGTGTAGAGAGGTAAAGATAGGGAAACAAACACAAGGTGTATGTGGTTCACCTTAAGTTGCGCTACGTCCACGAAGGTAAATGAGTTTTCATTAATAATGTAGAGTTTACATGACACATGGGTTTAAGCATATTCATCATTAATTAGATCTAAATATAGATAAAGGAATCTCATATCATAAAAACAATAGAGTAAAGGAATTTTGTACAGTTTGTTATTTATTTATTCTTTTTTACATAAACAATAGAGTGGTATTTCATTGAACTTCACAAACAATTACAGAGGTTTGCCAATCAGGTACATAGCTCCAATGATCAAGAAATTGATCTGGAGTAAATTTGCGTAGCCAAACAAACTATAGTAAACCTTGCTGCCACAAGCACTGCCTTACCCTGCAAAACGTCACAGATGATTGCATGAGGGGTAGTATTATAAACACATCTAATGAATGTTGTCCTTGTAGGACGTGTTTCGTGTAACCGAGGAAAGTTTGATGGATCGCCTAAATACGAATATGCATGAAGCATGCCTTCAGATTGATAAAGAATGCCGATAAAATTATCCCCGGCTACTTCTAAGTTCTAGTTAAGCACTCTTTAGCTTTTAAGTTATAAATTTCTCAGGTTAATATCGTACCTGTTGATACATCATGCTAATTTTTAATATATACCATTGTGTTTATTTTGGGTTCTCCTCTTAATTAACATGGTCAGTTTTGAGAAAATTGATTTGTTTAGTTACCAAAAGATGACAAGAACTCTCAGAAAATTTATTACAGTTTGAGCCTTGCATGCAGAATGTTGAATCCATTTAACTTGTGATTGTTTATGCTTTCTTGTTATACTTATGAATCGACATGTGCATTTTCGGTGTGTATTCTCATTCAATCAATTTTCTAGTAAAGAAGAATGTCCGTTGACCTAACGGCTACAAGCGCGTCCCCATGAAATACAAATTCGCATTGTGGAAATTCCGAATCTCGATGTCCACTGATCTGTTTCTTTGTTGTTGGCCCAATCTGTTATTTTTTGTGTTGTGTTTTGTAGACTCAATAATTGTGGTTTAGCTTGTACTCGTTGGCCAAATTTTCTCCAAGCCTTTCCCACAGGGCTTCTTTCACTTTCGTTTTTTTCGGATTTTTTGGTTTTTGTTCAATTAATTGTCTTTCATAGGCCTAAAAAAAGGGATCAACATTTCCTTGTTTCTGTGATTTTTTTTCAAGGTAAAAGAGCGAGCCTGCAATTGGAGAGTTGCATCAAATTCGATCATCCTCATAAGGTTCTCCAACAAATTATACAACCAGGTAAGAAAACATGATTATCTTGACCTTTATATATATATATACACGTGCGAATCAGTGCTTTCTCTTTACAATGTGTATTGAAAATCACTGTAAATTATTAGATTGTTAAACGAATTTCAATCCAAATTAATACCCTCCACTGTTCTTCATATGTATCAATCTCATGTAGTGATACAATCATCTCATGCTAAAATTTTCGGAGATTAATGTGATAATTAGATTTTGGTTTTCCATGTAGGGTTTGCAAGAATAAAGATTGTTCATTAGATATCATAAGTAAAAATAACAAGAGAAAGATAAATATTTGTTTTTTCATAGTGGGATAGACTCTTGATGAGTTAGTTATATATTGGAAACCTGATTTATCTTAATAGTTATAAGCATGATTTGTTAGCGAGTAGTATGAAACAAACTAGTGTTACATGCAGACATTAATCAGATTAGTTTTTTTTTTTTTCCTGGTAAAAAGATTATATATATCTAAAGCTATTTGATCTTATATTGTTCCAATATTTGTACTTCTCTTGACATTCAGTGGTAACAATTTCCATATTTCCTATATTAAACGCAGAATCCATCTAACTAGGAGTTAGAAAGGAGTTCATGGTGGTAGAGAACGTTAATGATCTCTACACGATGCTAATTAGTCATCGTGGTGGAAATGTGGTTGCAGAAAATAATGCGAATGCGCAAACCTCGAGTGGAAATGGACATGAAGTGGAGTTAATAGCATCCTCGATTAGACGAAAGCTTCATAAGCAACCTCCTTTACCAGCTTGTACTTGCATATTTAGAATCCCCAGCGTACTACGCAGGCATAATGAAAAAGCTTTTCTTCCAAATTTAGTTTCAATAGGGCCATTTCATCATGGACAAAAGAACCTGCAAGTCATGGAAGAAATTAAACTATGGTATCTATATTGCCTCCTTGATCGAAAACCAACTTCAGAGACCAGATTGGAGTACCTTGTGGAACTAATTAGAAGTATAGAACAACATTGTCGTGATTGCTATGGTGAAAAAATTGATATGAGTAGTGAAAAGTTTGTAGAAATGATGGTGGTTGATGGTTGCTTTATTATAGAACTCTTTCGCAAGTATGCGAGAGTGGTGCCTAGTAACAAAGATGATCCTGTGTTCTATACGTTATGGATGCACTCGGCACTTATAAATGACTTGTTTCTACTCGAAAACCAGCTTCCTTGGAAGGTTCTTGACTGTTTATTCCACCACACGAGGGAAAATAATGACAAACCACCGGCCTATTCTCTGTCTCATCTTGCTCTCAACTTCTTTAGGAATTCCACATTCTTACAGTCTACACAGCTTTACGGAAAATCAGGAAGTAAACATTTACTTCACATCATACGACACTCTTTACTTGGCTCATATACGCAATTACAATTAACGTTTAAAAGTTATTGGGAACCAATTCCTTCTGTAACAGAACTTCTACAAGCTGGAGTCCAATTCAAAATCAGAAACACCGGTGACAACATGCTTGATATAACCTTCGAGAATGGAGTGTTGGAAATTCCACCAGTAAACATCCAAGAGAATGGAGAGTCTCTCTTCAGAAACCTCATAGCTTACGAGCAGTGTAATCCAAGCATCTCGATTTCTAACATTACCTCTTACGCTGTGGTGTTGGATAACCTTATCAATTCTAGCAAAGATGTAGACTTTCTCATTCAGAAAGGAATTATAACTACAGTACTGAGCAAGGAGGACATAGCCTGTTTCTTCACTAGGCTTTACAATGACACTATTCCTGGCTATTTCTCTTACGCAGAACTCACCAAGAATGTGAATGCATTCTATCAGGACCGGTGGAACAGATGGCAAACAATTCTCAGGCGTGATTATTTTAACAATCCGTGGTCAATCTTGTCGTTTGCTGCTGCTCTCATGATCCTAGGCATGACCTTCATTCAAACCATATATACTGTTCTGGCTTACTACTAGGGTTCCGGTATGCACTGTGCAATTGTGCCTTTGTCAATATCTTTGTAACTTTGCTAAATATACATGATCGTGAATTGGAATTGTGTATTTAGCTCGTGCTGTAAAATCCAAGGCTGTAATCTGTTGTATGTTCAAAATAAACCCACGGCTGTAATTGCTTACATGTGTATGTGTATATATACGAATTTTGTAGCTAGAAATAACTTGCACGACCCTTTTCTGGCAAATGTACTATTCATACTCGATTCATAAACTTCTAACTACTTTCACTAAATTCATTTGTGGCTACAACCTTACTGCAAATCACGAAATCCATTTTTTTCTCTTATTGTATTAATACCACATACACATGATTAGTGTGCTTCACATAGTAAGTCACCGATCAACATGTAAATTTCTGAAGCTGTACATTTTTCGAAGTACGGTAGGGCCAGGTACGTAGGTCCTTATTCCCCTAGTTGAATAAATTCATGCTTTCTCATAACATGTACATATTTGTTGAGCCATCATCTTGCCACGGTCACTTCTGAGAAAATTCCAGGAACACTTACTTATATTGTTTGAGATCCTTCTTAACTTCATGCAAATAATCAAGGACGAAAGATTCAATTGCGCTACCAATAAGACAGGTAATTTTCTATTTCTTATAAAATTCAAAATTCATACGTGAGGTTTTAGATGGCAGGGATAAAATGTATTGACATATATCTGACAGTTCTTTTGGTGCTAATGTATCCATTTTCCCAGTTAGCACCAGCTTTTATTGGCAGGAGGACTATAAGGCCACATCTAATTAGGTACTGTCATGCCAATCGGCATATAGTTTTGGGTCCTTTCCCTTAGTAGTCGGATACATTCATGCTTTGCCGCAATATTCTGCGAAAGTTTAATTTGTTTGGTCACCAAGGATTTCGAGAAAATCTATCAGAGTGAGCTTTACTCTTCGGGCAAGTATTCTCCATCCGCGTGGTTAATCGTCCGAAACCTCTAGTTACTTGCACTTATATCCACGCATGGCTAGTGTTTGTAGTAAAGCACGAAATCCATCACTAATATCACCAAAAGTTGTGAAAATCTCTTCGTCTACTTGTAACCTCATGCCAGACTCATTTGAGCGGAAGGCTTACGATCCTGCAGAATTAGCTGAAGCGCGGTGGACAAATGAGCCGTGTTTTGAACAGAAGTATGTGATTTCAGAGAAAAAACTGATTTGTTTGCTAACTGAAAAATTCTGGAAAGATTTAAAGGTTTTCAATAACGTTCCTGATTTGCAGCAGTGTGCTCCACCCATCGCACCCAAGTTTGAATTCTCCCCTTCCTGTAGTTTAGATAAATTTAGTGTAATAATAGTAATGTGTATACTTGTATAACGTATATCTGTGTACTTTAGACAGTTAAAATTCTTATTTTTAGCTAATTAAGCCAAGCTTACTTCTAATTAACAACGTATATACTCGTATGATTTAGGTCCCATGGCTCTCTATCAATTGTGGACCCAACACAAAGCTGAAATTTGACGTAAAGTATCAAGGAGACAAGAAGTAGCTAGCTATAACTATCTAATAAGGCCGAGGAATTTCTCCTTCTCAAAGTTCCCTCCAACTAAAGAGAGAGCCTGCAACGGAGAACTGCATCAAACTCGATCATCCTCATAAGTCTCTTCTACAAATCCTTAAATTAATGTAGGAAATTAAATAACATGTTTTGCTTTAGTCTTTACCTTTGTCGATTATATGTGGGCTAGTTTGGTTGTGGAATAGATGTGTCGATATGTCATCATAAGATGCTTCGATTCTAACGTAACATAGCGACTTGTTAAGATGCATTAATGTATATAACTTTCATTTATTTGTTCTCCTAAATGTAGTGCGTAGAGTATTTAGAGGTATTTAATCCTAAGATGTTGTCAACTATACATTTATTATGGTCTTTTTCACGTACAAGCCCTTGCTAACATTACACTTTTTAGAAGAAAAAAAATAGCAAACCGAATACTTTGGAGAGAAAAAAATCCTGCTGACTAGCTATGTAACAGTTTCCAATTTTAGTTTCCTGTATCAAAAGAAGATTTTACTAAATAGGAGTCAGAAAGGAGTTCAAGATGGCAGAAAATAATGTGAATGTGCATTCCTTGAGTGAAAACAGAAGCGAAGTAGAGTTGATAGGATCCTCGATTCGAGGAAAGCCTACACCAGCAGCCTTTGTTCCCGGCTTGTAGTTGCATATTGAGAATCCCTAGCGTATTACGGAGGCATAATAAAAAAGTTTTTGTTCCAACTTTTTAGTTTCAATAGGGCCATTTCACCATGGAAAAGAGAACATGCAACACATGCAAGAAATTAAATTGTGGTATCTACATTGCCTACTGGAGTGCTTTGTCGAAGCCATTAGAAGCATGGAACAACATTGTCGCAGTTGCTATGGTGAAAATTTGATACGAGCAGAGAAAAATCTGTGGAAATGTTAGTAGTGGATGGTTGCTTTATTATTGAACTCTTCGTATAATAAATTAGATATGCAGAAGCCCATCTTACCGGGGTTATGATTGGTGAAGCAAGGCTCGCCCTGGGCTGAAATGTAACAGACGAAGCTTTATGATCCTAGTTTTAACCTTCATGCAAACCTTAATTATATTTCATGCTGTCTTACTACTAGCAAACTAGGCCTCCATTTCAATTTTGCTTTCTTCGATGTGTTTATGAAGTTACCAAATACATGATCATGTCTTGTCTGTGTGAATTGGGATTGTGGTTTTATAGTTCATGCTTATTACAAGTTCAAAATACTATACAATGTTATAAGTGAAAGTTTAACCTTTAATATCACCGAGATGCCCTTTATGATAAATCCGAACACTTAGCAATAGGTGGTTAAGTCGGTGTTGGATCATACTTAGCCTAAAACATTTACAAAAAATTTCATCGCCAATTTCTGCAGTATGAATCACCAAATTTTGATAAAAAAAAAAAAAAATCATGTATACAAGTTGTGTGTATTCTCATCATGCGTGGTGACCATTCGCCAATCCACATTGAGGTAGGCCACATAAATAAACACACAAAAACAAGCAATATATACATATTCTGCCCTTTCACACAGTTAAGGGATGCCGTGCTTGCAGGAAGTGTGATTTACTGTGTGACAGAGGAAGGTCTAATGGATCGCCTGAGTACTGATATGCCTGAATCATGTCTTCATGTTGGCAAAGAATGCAGGTAACTGAGCAAACTCTACTTAATTTCGTTTTCACTGTTTTATGTTTCCTTTTCCTTTTTCTTGCATTGCACGCATGACCAAGCTTATTGGCGATACTGTATATAAGGGTGTTGACAGTCCATGGATCTGCTGATGAGGCCGTCCCTGTCGAAGATGCATTCGAGTTTCCAAAGATAATAGCAAACCACAAATTACATGTTATAGAAGGAGCTAACCATTGTTGCACCTCACATCATCTGAGTTAGCGACAGTCGTTTGGTTCTATTCAAGTCAAATTTGAAGCATTAGGGTTTTGATGAGAGTTGACGAAATGAATAATGTGAGACTTGGGGGAAAGTACGGGAGGTTAAGTGAGACATTAGGGGCACAATGAGAATTCACTGTATCATAACAACAATTAAGCCATAGTTGATATGAACCTAGCTAGTTATGTGTGATGTGTTTTTCCTATGAACTCAAGTTCTAATTCAGGCTGCCTCTTTATAGTCTTTTTATTTATTCAATAATTTTTTAATTTAATGATGATTGTCTAAATTTCAAAGTGGGTCAACTATAATTGGGTATTTTACTCGTTATCCATGTGAACCAATAGTATGAGACCTTCCAATTATAAGTAAAGAAGAATATTATCTACCCTCCTCCCAACCTAATGGTTGAATGCACTTGCATGAAAATATTGGTCTTGGGTTCAAGGGTTGGTGCTGATGTTGCTCAGCTATTGATCTAATGATTATATTGATGAAGATGAACCATTAACCAAAAAATATAAAGTGGAATATCACTAACTTGTAGTTCTTGTGGCCTCTCTTTGTCGAAGTGTAGATTATATTAGTATATTTCTTGAATAACCAAAAATAGTAAGTTAGAAAAAACGGACATGATCAAACATGGATGTGTAGAAGCTAAAAATGATGTGTATTTATCATTTTCAAAATAAAAGATAGAAGCATGGCAGTTTTAAGAATCCCATAAATAATCAGGGTCCAACAGTTAAAAAAGAGACTGTTGTGGACCAAAACCTAATAAAGACCCAAAACATTATTTGGTTGGGAACTGACTGGATTGGTCCGATACTCTCCCAGTTCCAAACCCACCGGAGGTGTGTAGATTGCAGAGCAGCAAGCAAAAGTTTCTAGGTAAACTTCTACTGCCTTGAGGATTAATTAATCGTTAATTAACTTATAATCTCAATTAAAATGCTGCTCTTAAGTTCTTTCACTTCCATAAGCTTCCCTTTACCAAACTTTAATCTTCCCCGCAATCGCAGCCCAAAACGAATCTTGAAAATGGCAGAAGCTGCGAAAAACCCAGGTCAGAAATCTCATCGTCTCACGCTGTATATGTTTGATTTGAAATATTCATGTGCTTATTGCCATCAAGTTACCGACTTTATCAGAATTTCAGTGGATTTTGTTCGTTTGAATTGCAATGTTTCAGTGGGTCAGCAGCAGAAAATCATTGTGCCCAACAAACACGGTGAAAACCTTGTGGGATTGTTACACGAAACCAGTTCCCCGGACCTTGTAATCTTATGCCATGGTTTTCGATCCACCAAGGTTGGATTTTTGATATAGTCGCAACAATGTCTTTACATGGTAGCAATGCTGGAGTGGATTTGACGTTGTTTAATTAAGAAAAGAGAGAATAGGGGGATCTAGCTTTAGCTCAAAGAGGAAACGAGTTCTCGTTTGGTTCCAGCTTGATTAGGCTTCTAATTTAAGTTATATTTTCTAATATTTCATTGACAATCTATCGGCGAACTTTGTTTGTTAATGATTTGGTTTGTAATTTGAAGACAACTGTGTTTTAATAACTAATGAATAGAGTAGTACTTCGTCCGTGGAAATTGTAATGCTTAGTTGGCTGCATTGTGGGCCAAGTTTCACAGCTTGTGTGTCTTGATTTCCAGGAAAGCTCTGTTATGGTGAACCTTGCTGTTGCACTGGAAAATGAAGGGATTAGTTCCTTCCGTTTTGACTTTGCCGGAAATGGGTAATGCTGTCGAATTACAGGGTTTTGAATTCCTGAATATAACAGGTTCTGTGGAGAGTTCGTTGTGTGCACCTCATTAGTTTCATAGTTGTAAGCCTGGCTCTGTCCTTATCATACTGTTCGTACTTGCAAAGTTTGCATTTTTTCAATTTGAGATCTAAGATTACATTGATGCTGATTAGTTGTGGTATTTTTGGTTGTCAGGGATAGTGAAGGCACCTTTCAGTATGGTAACTATTGGCGAGAGGCTGATGACTTGCACTCTGTGGTCGAATACTTCTCTAGAGAAAAACGTGCACCCAGTGCAATTCTTGGACACAGTAAAGGTACGTTGGATTGTTTTGCACGATCGTTGTGTGAGATTTTACTCTGATAAAATAGAGGACAAAATGCTATTGATGAATGTTTCGAAAGAGTAATTTTGTATTGTGTACCAAAGGTATTGCTGAAAATTGCTACTACAGGAGGTGATGATGTGCTCCTGTATGCTTCTACGTATCATGACATTCGTACGGTTGTCAATGTTTCTGGACGTTATGATCTGAAGAAAGGCATTGAAGAACGCTTGGGGAAAGACTATATGGAAGTAATCAAGAAGGAAGGATTCATTGATGTTAAGAATAAGTCGGGTAATTTGCTAATTCGTATCGTGTAGTGAATTTGCGAAATTTGTTTGTAAGACCAGAGGATGGCATGGATAAATAAACTGATAAATCTGAGTGTTTTCAGCTTGTATCCATTTACTTTCAGTAACACACACACACACCCTTACATATATATACATGAAACCGAGTAAGGTGCATGCTGGCGTTTAACACAGTGATGGGATGCCATGTTTGTAGGAGCTGTTATTTATCGTGTGACCGAGGACAGTTTGATGGATCGTCTAAGTACTGATATGCACGAATCATGCCTTCAGATTGACAAAGAATGCCGGTAAGCAAACTTAATTAACTCAGTTCTCATTCTTTTATGTTTCCCTTCATTTTTTCGCCTGACCTAGTTTATCGGCAATTCTGTATATACAGGGTGTTGACAATCCATGGAACTGCCGACGAGATCATCCCCGTTGAAGATGCATTAGAGTTTGCCAAGATAATACCTAACCACAAATTACATCTTATAGAAGGCGCTAATCATTCGTACACCTCGCATCAAGCCGAGTTAGCATCGGTTGTCTTGGACTTCATTAAGGCAGCTCTGCAGCAGGACAAGGCTACTTCCAACTAGACACATAAATTTTTCAACGAGTCAGGGCTGGGTGGATTCCTTATCTCGATGTAGTTTGATGCATACATTCTCATGCTTTGCCGCAAGTTTGTGTTTTCGCTTCGTTCTGTGACATTAAATACAGAACTAGATGAACACGATGCATGCCATTGCATCACGATTTGAGTTGTTACCTCAGAATTTGGTATAACCATTGAATTTATACCTCAAACATCAATAAAAAGGCAGAGAACAATGTTAGCAAGTTGCTATGACTAATTATATAAACTAGAATTGGATTACAGCTCCATACGAGCATACATAAATCACATGAACTACCGAGGAATCCACAAAATGAGTTAAAAAAATCCCGATTGCAGCGACTGCTCGCTTTAGAGCTCCATTTCCAACATAACCATGAATGAAAAATTATCAGGTCGCGCTGACAGAGTATTATATGACGTAACGGTAGGTGACATATCGCCCTGCAGTCTCACTTGGTCGAATTATCTTCACAACTTGTGCACGCTTAAGGCCATAGTATTTTGCAATTGGATCAGTCACCTGAATCCGAGGGAGCTGGACCAAAAGAATACAAATACAAGGGTAACAATTAGCAAGCAAATTTCCTTAATTTGCCACAGATATGCAGGCTAAGATGTGTTTGGAAAACAAACGTTAAAAAGCCATTAGGATGAGAGAAACAAAGCTTTGTTACTCTGTCATGTAGTTTGGATGGTATTACGATGCATTGGGCATGACCCGATTCAACCAATAACATAAAACATCCACAAAGGGGAGAAAAAGCAAGCGCTGTCACTTTGTCACAATAGTTTGGATGGTGTTAAATACGCATTAAGCATGACTCTGTAGTTGAGTTGAAATGTTCAACCCAAACAGTTCAATGAATGAAGTGGTAAATTTGTAGTCATGTTAGAGTTATAAATCTAGATTTAAAGTCATGGCATGTCTCACGTAGCATATAAATTTCGTAATGCAAGATTAACAATAAGTGCAGAACTGACCTGTGTTTCCTTAACAGTGTATCTCTCCAGCAAAGTCTTCTTTTCCTCATTTGTAAGCACTCGATGTTCAGGAACTAGAACGTGCTCTTTAATATTCACCAACAATTCTGCCTCCTGAATCATAGAAATAGAGCAAACATTATTATCCTCTTAGTTTGAAGCACCTGATGCAACTATAGGTGGAGCCAATATTTTGTATGTGGGGTAAACAAAAATTCTCTTCCCAACCCAACCCTCTACACTGTAGGGCCATACCCATTCATCAGACTAACAATACTAGTAAGAGCTTTGATCAGATCATCAGATTAATATTCACTCTTTAGAAGGCATTAGAGCTTAGAATATAAACAAACAAATCAAGTTATTGCATCGGTGATCTGTATGTATAGCCTTCAAATTTCTGATATTTCTGGTACGGTAGTACCTTACATTTCTTGCGTAAGGCTTAATAGATTGTCGTGATATTCATGAAATTTCAAGAAACACAGCTTCATACTAACAACAGATTTTTTTTTTTTTTTTGAACAAACAATATTATGTACACTAAGGGGTGGGGAGTGGGCTAATCCTGACAATGGGCGAGCCATAATAACGTGGTTCAAATTCGCCTTTGGTCTAAGCTTCATACTAACAACAGATTTAAGTAATGAACCTCACCAGAAAAACCTCCAAGTGGAACTTTCCGGATATCTCACTGATACAGGCCTTTGCAAAGGGCGTCAGACTTTGTTGCGTAACCAAGATTGCTCTGAGCACATTCTCCGACTTCATGCGGTTGGTATAAGTCTTCATTGTCTTGACCCCAACTTTTGGTTCGTCAGGAAAGAAGACATAAATCTGAAACACAAGAACCAACAATCAGAGACGCCAACGGTTACAGTACTACATCCACTGCAATTAAAAGGCATTGGGGAAACACCTGATCATTGCTGTCACTTCGCTTAGTTTTATTGATGATAAGGTCTTCCCTTTTCATGTTCTCTCCATACTTGTCCTTGAACTGTTCTTTTGTCATGTTGATCTCAAAATCTCCAACCAAGTAATTCCGGTCTTTCAGCATTTGCATCACCGTATTTCGGACTCTATAAAGCATTGTGATTTCTTCTTCTGTTAAAACCATCTTTGTCTCTGATATGTTACAAAACCCAGCTTGTTTGTTAGGTTCCTTCGCAATTAGCAGACAATGGTTATGTACAATGAATCACGATCAAGCAACAACACATCAAACTTAGACAAAATTTTCACAGTTCCATTAACCCTTTCGTTTTTTCACAAAGTTCGAAATAGCAAGGCATTTTATGGGCAGCTTTGTGAGGCATAAGAAACCCAAATACATAAAATTAAACAACAACTTCATCATTCATCCCTAATAATCAACCAAAAAAACATATAATTCAAGTTTAACAACACCGTAAAACTTTAAACCAAAATCCAATCCAAATCTAACAACAACAAAAAAAACCCCAAATTCCAACAATAACAACAACTTAATCTCTGCCTTAAACAGACTAACAGAAAAATGGAAAATTGCAAAAAAAAAAAAAAAAAAAAAAAAAAAAAAAAACAGGCAAAAGAAAACCAAAAGCTCTGAGAGCTGAAAAAAATAAACACAATATACAGTCCTAAATTCTAAAACACAAAAGAAACACAATATTTGGAAACCAACAAGAGAAATATCATAAGAAATCGAAAAGAGATGAGACCTTCGGTATGACATTATCTAACCTGTTCGGCAAAAAATATGTCCAAAAAATTAGTGTTTGTAGTCGCAGGTTGAAGAGGTTGTACAGGAATTCAACTCACTAAATTCACGGGTGTTTTGTTTATCGAGAGAAAAAAGGCGCGAACGAGAGCTGCTGCTGCCTCTTTGAGTCTGTTGTGCCAAGGAAGAAAGTCTGTTTGCGCCGAGTGAAGAGAGAAAGGCAGGGTTTATAATGGAAGTTGGTTTTTTAGTCAAAATGTTCCCGAGATTTGCATTACTCCTTATTTTGGTCTTTAAAATTTAAAATCGATAAAATTGATTTTAAATTTGTTCACAATCAATCATTTTGATCATTTCGTGAAAAATCTCTATAAAATAAAGATAAAATTATAAAAATACCCTCAACTTTTGTCAAATTATTTTGGCTTATTGTTTATTATATTGAGGTAATTTTATTATTTGAATCCTTATTTAACATAATTTTTTATCGAATGATCAAAATAATTGATGGTGGACAATCAATGACCACTTCTATTGATTTCAAATCTCAATAACCAAAGTGAAGAGTTAAGCAAATATCAGAAACCTATTTTGGCTAAACAGCCATCAAAGTTTTATACCGCTACGGTGACATATAGGTATTTCTACTTTTTTTTTTTTTCCAAAGAAAATGGGAAACATTAGCCCATTTAGCGTCAACTACAAACTCAATATATCAATTTTGTCGTTTAGCCATATTACAAAGCAGAAAACTGAATGCCACGTGACAATGATCCCGACCCACATAAAAAAATCATCCATAAAGCAAGCTCAGAGTGCTTTTTGTTTGCTATTGGGAGTGGGAGTCTGAACTGAAGGCCTCTTGTGACATTGTGAAAGAAAGAAAAATATTGCTAGATGAATAGCTAGTTGGTCTCGAATGGGTTTTAAAACTTGAATTGTGAAGCATTTAATGACGACGATGTATGCAAGAACATGATGAATGTAACCGGATGTTGCCATACGGATGGCCTCATTACACATTCATACGCCGTTAAAACTACAACTATTACTTAAATGATACTGATCGGAGCTATTTACATCTTTCTGGACATCTGCAATCTTCACCTCTGAAGTATCAATCAGCTCGCTGAATTTGCTGAACTGGTTTGAACAGCTTCATTATCTTGCATTTACTGGTATATAGGAGGTTTACGGTTTAACCTGACCGACATTCAGATCCTGTCGTACCCTCCAAAGTTTTCCCAACATAGCAGCCGATCTACCTCATTGCCACAAGATAAATGCTTAGATTTCTGCAGTTAGGTTTTTGGAGTTCTGACTTCTGAGTATCAAAAACCATTCCTTTGTGCCGGCTCATTCATTCACTCAGCAATAAGAAACTATACATCTCCCTTTCCGACATACCTATCTTCAACTCTGAAGTAACAATCAGCTTGCGGACTAACTACTAAACTGATCAACAGTCTCATTTTCGTTATCGTCATCCACATTGCCACAATCATATACTTCAAGATATGCCTCCTCCCCTTCCTCCTGGTTCAAGAAAATAGGGAAGCATCTCAGTTATCGGAAACCAAAAGTGCCATTTTGACAAAAGCGGCACGTTGTACTAACTGAGAGTGAGATAAATGGGTCAGTTACCTCGTCACTGTCATCACTGGGGATAGAATAATCATCTACTGTTGAAGGCAAGGTTCTTCCGCCATCGACCATTTTCCCCTTTCCTGTGTCCTCTGAAATTAACACCAGAAGAATATATATATTATGGAAATGCAAACTACATCACCTGCGTCAAAACTACGACAATGCAAAGGATATCATACTAGTTCGGACTTCAAGAGGCTCAACTCTCTCCAGTAAGTCTGAGATATGATGCTTCAATGCCTGGGAAAGATGGGAAATATATTAGAACTGATATAATAGCCATCATGTTTGAAGAATAACAAACACGATTGGTTTATATGTTACCTCGCGTCTCTGTAGTTCAATTGACCGAGCCAATGCCTGTCTTCTTGTCAATAAATTCCTAGGCCTTAATGGAAGAGGGCATTGATAGTTCTTACCACGATAAACAATCACTGCATAGCCTTTGGTAGTTTTATCTAGAGACACTAGCACCCCACCACTCTCTGCTTCCAAAGAAATTGCAACATGCTTGACTTGCTCAAAACTTTTTCCCCTAACAATTATCTTCACCAACTCTCTATGCTTCCAGTGCAAGTGCATATTCTCTATGGTACCAGAGTAAACCCCTCGCCTCCCTGAAATATAAATCACTCAAGCATTTGATTCTCCCCAAAAAGTTCATTTAATCCAAAGAGGTAGTAGTTCTTACCTAGAAGCAGAAAGGGTTTCATACTGAGACCAATCTTACGAAACAAGAACCTATCCTCATCAGTTAAGGTTTCCAAATCATCTGGGAGATCTGATGGTTCCAAACTTTCCTGCACTCTTGCTAAAGCCTTCTCAGCCTTTCTGAGCTTTCCTTTCGCCTAGAATCATCCAGGGTTAGAAATAAGTCGCAATATTGAAATTCCTAAATGACACTTGTTCTGGCATCCTAGACTTGTGGGGTACATAAAATACTTGGACATATTGCATTTTGGACTTACAAGAGCCAACTTCTTCTCGAGGTGTCTGACTAAAGATGCATGTCTAGCCAAAGTTGAATCTCTCGTCATTTTTTCGACTTTATCAATGGTCAGTTGGTTTCTCCAGCGAGTGGTTGCTGCCAAGGTTTCAGCAAGGGTTCCAGCAACCAATTGGCCTTTAGAAGCTTCAGGTTTTGACTCAACAAAGTCTGAGGCCATCTGTCGTGCTTGTTCTTCCTCATCTTGTTGGAGATCTCTTAATTTTCTCCTCTCTTTTAAAACCCCAGTGACAACAGACGGCAAGTAGTCATTACCCCTGTAAAAGACGATGAAATCTTTGTTTCTAGAGAGAAGTGTACCCCCTGTCAACCTCTACATATATAACATGCAACAGTCGTCAGAAATAGATAGGATAATGTGGCATACAATGGTCATTATGTCTCACCTTAAGTTCTTCCGCCATCCTCTCATTACAAGTATTCTGTACTCCACGTTTGATGGCTATCTTTGCAATAGCACTCTTCTCCCAAAGCTTCACCATTGCATTAGCCAGACCTTGTAATTCTCTATTCCTTCCTATAACAATTAATCATACACGAAAAATATCAAGACAAAAGATTTGGTTATCTAATACAATCATAAGCAATAAGTGTTACATACCTAAAGCAAAGTGTGGAGGTACAGTTCTAGCAAGCCTACGGAATTTTGTCATGTCCTTGTTTCTTAGACCAGGTCTTACCCCATAAGGGAGAAGTCTGAATGGAGTTTTATATCCGGGAATCACGGGAGGAAGCAAGTCAGCATCAACAGGCAAAGGCTCACGGCCTATCCAATCCTTAAATCGTGGACCCAACTCATCTAACAAATGGTTTAGGACACTCAAGTCCATGAGTTCGCGTTGAGATAAATCCTTCAAATACTCTGCAGACTCAAGACTTGGAAAATCTGTAGTCCTAGACACATCCTTCATTCCTACTTTGTGCATCCCATCCCTTGTAGCATCTTCTGTGTGGTGGAGCATATGTGAATTAGTCTGACTCTGTTTAGCATATGATTGTACACAAGGAATGTTATACGTCATTCCCCTGTAAAGCACTACCGAACTGCCTGATCTCCATATAACCAAACCTCCGGTTTTACTCTAGCAGAGAACAAATGATCAACTAAATAAGGTGCTAGCGGTAACCAATTCTTGCAAACAACTAAACAATATAAAAAGAGAGAAGAGCCTGCTATGATCAACATGATACATGAATCAATCTCCAATTTAAAATAGTTGAGCAGAAATTAATCATCAAACAGCTAAAGAATGATTCAATAACTCCACAGATATATAGGAAAGGGATAACAAAGAAAGTAAACGAGGTACCAACACCAACCTCTAATATCTCATGTGTCCTTTTCATGTTAAGGGAAAACGGCTCTTCAAACTTCAACTTGACCACTTCATCGACCTTCCACTTCTCATGTATAGTATCCACCAATGCCTGTGTGATGCCAGAAACTCCGACTTTTATCCTCTCCAACATCCTCAAAGAAACATTTCTCAGCCTCTTCAACTCATGATCCGGAAGCATTCGCTCCACCAAATCTGTGTTGCTCCTCCTTTTCCTTGCCTTATCACCTTCCTCAGAACCCAACTCACTTTCTCTCTCCCAAGGCAACCGGATAGAATCACAAGAACCACTATGAATATGCACAAAATTTTCAACCTTTTCATTTTTAGCACCATCTCCAGATATAGTTTCATCAAAAGAAATGCCATTTAAGCCTTTTGAAATCATTTTATCCTCTTTTTTCGAAACCCCAATTGAAGTTCCACCATTTTCCCCAATACTTTTACTCTCCAGCTTCCTTTTACCATCAAATCGTTGCTTAAAGCTCTTCTCTTTTTCAATCTTTTCATCGTTTCCACCATCCACAGATAGAGTTTCATTGAAAGAAACACCATTTGAACCATTTGAAATCATTTTCTCCTCTTTTTTTGAAACCCCATTTGAAATTCCACCATTTGCCCCAACACTTTCTCTCCCCAGTTTCTTAGTACTATCAAACCGTTGCTCAAGTCTCTTCTCTTTTTCAACACCACCACTTGTAGTATCAATCTCAGAGTGCCTAACAAACCCACCAAGATTTTTCCCTTGTGCAACACTGTGTTGTGAGGTTGCAGACTCATAATCAACCTGGGGCTTAATGGGTTTGCTTCCATGAGACCAAGGAGCATAAACTATACGGTTTGGCAAAGAAAAACTCACTGTCTGTTTCACTGGTTCAGACGCAGAAACTCCAGAAGATTTCTGACCTTCCTCTTCCTCCTCCTCCTCTTCTTCTTCTTCTTCTTCCAATACTACATTTTGTTTTTGCCATGGAAAATTTTCTCTTGGGGAATTGACTTTCATAGACCATTTGTCCTGTATTTGCTCAAAGAAGCTTGGCTTGGGCTTCCTCTTCTTCTTTGTGGGCTCAAAAGCTACTTTGGTTCTTTGGGGTTGCTCCTGGGTGTCAATTTGGCCAGTCTTACACGAAACTCTGAACCTGAGAGATCTGCAACTTTTGGAATAATGGGCTTGAATCGTTTGATACGGTTGAAAAAAAAAGTAGCTAGATTGAGATGCATGGAAACTGCAAGCACAGGAACTAGTAGTAGATGGATTCACTGAGACCAGCAGCAGCGCCATGGTACTGGATGTCCCAATATCTTTAGTGTTCTAGCTATATATTATGGAAGGCATAACATGATAGTTTCCTGACAATGCAACTAGTCTGCATAACTTGATAAGACCCCAGGATAGCTAAGCTAGGTGACAAACCAAATTGCAGCAATTGCCTAACGCCAAACACGATGCATTTGCCTTCTTAACTGCTGCTACTGACAATAGTAAGGTTGTAAACAACGAAGGCAAAGAATTACAAAATAGATAAAGAAAAACCGGAATGTAAATAAACCCGAATCCAAAAGCAACAAAGATAGCTATTTGGAAGCAAACCCATCACTGCCATCCTATATTCTACTGAGATATGTTTCCTTCTCTCAGGCAATTCCACAAACAGAAAGTAGACATAAAACAATGGAACTTCTGTTACTATATATTTTGCACATGGATAAAATAAAAATTGTAACTACTGAATCAAGCAGTAAAAACCCATATAATTTCTCTATCTAATTCGACCCAATAAAACATAATCAATTGGGAGAAATCCAATTGGCATTCAAATTTGCCACTACAAGCAAAGCTGAATTAAAGAAACAAAAAAAAAATGTAAGAAAATGATCCAATCTAACACAGAAAAAAAAAACCTGAATTAAATGAAATTAAATTGTGATAAACCAGATTAAATAAGTTTGGAAGAGAGGATGGAGAGGGAAGGAGGAGAAAAGAGAAGAATACCTCAGGCTCAGGGCGGGAGAGGAGAAGTGTCTGCCAGTGAGAAACGAGTGAAGCTGAAAGTTGAAACTCTGTAGATAGCGGGGGGTCGATAGTGTCAATAAAGCGGGTACTTTCAGTGAGGGGTATTTTTGACTTTTTACTCGGCGCCGAGTGCTAAACCTAAACGGGCCGGCAAATGAGTTTGGGTTGGGCTGATCCCATTCTATCCAAAGTTCTGGTGGCAAACGAGTTTTGTTCCATATAATTCCTTCATCTAATTTGAATTTAGCAACACGTGAAAAAATGAGCGTAGGATAGGATTTGGAATAAGGATATCAGAGGTAAAGTAGGAGTCGCCACAATTAAAGATAAGATGATAAAAAATTGGTTAAAGTGGTTTGAATATCTGAACCAAATTACAGATGTTTTGGTTAGAAGATGTGACTATGAATGGAGGCTCATGGCAAAAGGAGTAGAGAAAGACCTAGGAGAACTTTGAAATAGACCATAAGAAAAGATGTGGAGTACTTAGAGCTGACGGAAGACAATGCAAAACCGAGCGCAGTAGTGTTCTAAGGTTTATGTAGCCAGCCTCACTTACTATAATAAAACATAGTGGTGGTTGTTGTTGTTGTTGTTGATCCGTTAACTTGTTATGTTGATTTCGTGTAAGAAATTCGTCAAATTTATCTTTTCATAACATATATTGTGCACGTTATCGTTTCATAGAAGACATTAACTCATTAATTCACGAATATTCTTGAATCGGAGCAACTTTCTAACCATAAGAATGAAAAACGTGATGTGGAAAAAAACAAGGAATGAAAAACGTGCCTTGGGAAAAAAACAAATACTGCTACATAAACAAAAGGGGAGTGAGAGTTAGTTGCTTTCATTGGTACTTACCATTAAATAATGCCACGAAGACTAAATTTATAGATAAAATGATAAATTAAATGATGTGTCATTGATAAAAAAAAAATGAACATATTTATCAAAGCTTAAGTATTAATCCAATCACTAACTTCCAAGTAATTTAGTTTACAAATTTAGTCTGCTAACATTACCTTACAAATAGGGATGGCAATTTAACCTGTCAAATCTAACCCCCGCAAGTAACCGATCCAAATGGTTCGGTTTCGGGCATAAAATTTTGGGTATTTTAATGTTATGGGTAACCGTCAGGTAAATTTTTCGGTTTCGGGTTCAGTTATGGTTATTAGGGTATCCGCCCCTAATTCATACCCAAAACGGAACCATTTCATCTATGAATAAAAAAAATATAAATATTTATTATATGAAAAGGGGTTGTTAATAATCATGCATCATTAAATATGAAATTAATTATTTGCTTTTATATCATTAATAATAGAAATTAGATGCTTATAATTTCACGAATGTAATGTTTTCTTAGTAATAAATTTTTAATATTACTTATTAAATGCATTGTATCAATTGCATTAATAATAGCAATTTATTTAATATCGTTTTTTTTAATATTCTTCATTTAGTTAATAATATAAATATTAAATGGGGAAAACCATTTCTCAATCAAAAATCCATCAACCGACGGATTCTGTTATGGGGAAAACATGTTCAGTGATTCTACAAGTTCGAATTTGGAGAAAATAAACGGGTTTGGATATGAAGATGACACATCCGAACCCAATCCGCTCCATTGCCATCCCTACTTACAAATTCTTTACGGAGCGTTTTGTGCTGCTTCATTTTCATGTAATAGCAGTTTATAATGCAGCTGCCTCGAAGCTATGGAGAGGACAAAGTCATCATCTGTCTTTTTTTAATTATTATTATTATTTTTTTTTTCACTTTTAGTTCGCACAGTGTGTGAATGTCTGGATCCTGTCTTAACAAAAATCAACGAAGACAGCCATAGAACACCATGGAAAAAGCTAACTTGATGACGGCCCTTTTGATGTCTCCTAGTTGCCTGCAAGCTGCAATTGAGTCGTACAGGAGCTTTTACACTCTGGGGTTTTAGAATATGAATTAATGAGATAATTGTGTACTTAGCTCATTCTTTAAGCACCCCTCTAGTAATTGTGTTAATTATTGTCGGTTTTTGTCACTTTGCTTCAATGACGTAAGGGAGAGCAATATCATTACATGTTTCGTCGCTTCTAAGCTATTTTAAAGAGAAGGTTGTCATCAATTTTGACAAAATGTCAATTGTTCTTCTATTTATTTTCCATTCAATAAAAAATGTTAAAATAATACCAACAAAATAGTAATTAACAATTAACTTTTTGTTAACAAACGATATTTTACAGTTATCTACACTAAAGTAAAGGGAGACTTTGAATCCATGAAGCAATGAGTTGAAAAGAAAAGTTCTAACCACCTGAATAAGTCACTACTTGCAACAAGTATGGGTTCGGTTTAAAAGTGTTTTTAAAATGATTGACATGTTTTTTTTTATGAAAATGTTTTTTGAACCAATATTTAGTAAAAATGCAAGTGAATCCTTGAAAAGTATTTGAAGTGCTAGAAGCACATAACTGATGCTTCTTGCAAGATTCACTGTAAGTGCTTTTATAACCCATAAAACATTTTTTTCTAAAAACACTTTTAGTCATTTTAAAAGCACTTCTAAATGAGCCCTATTATTTTAGAAACAATATATATACTCATATTTTTCTCTTTGACTAGCCTGTAACTTCCCTGGCAAAAAGGGGTGTGATATCCTTACACCCCATTTTACTTGTCACACACCTTTTTAATTTTTGACCGTTGGATCAGATGAATTGAAGAAGATCAACGGACATAAATTATCAAGGGGTGTGTGAGAAGTAAAATGTGGTGTGTGGATAGCACACCCCTAGCAAAAATTGTCATGCATGTATAGCATGTCCAATATGGCGTTGTTTATTGATTAAAACGACAACATCAGAAAAATTATTGTATGTGCCGGTTACACCTAAAATTTCTAGATTGAGCTTGAATAAAGGGACACTCTTTAGAAGTTCATTATGATAATCTAAGTAATTTATTTTTAAGTTCACTCAAAATCATCTCCACAAAAATCACTCCAAATTGGAAATTATTCGACCATTTAGTTAAGTGCTTTCTGAAGGCATTAGTTTAATTAGATGGCTCAATGGTTTCACAAATTTTAATTTTTATTTTTTTATTTTTATTTTTATTTTTTATTTTTTATTTTTTTGTAAGAATGACGCAAGGTGCAAATACAATGTGTGGTGAGTATAAGAAATCCCTCTACGTATGAACTTAAAATTACTTAATGATAGTGAACTCCAGATATGAATGTGGAAACAAATTATTACAAAACCGACCATGCACATTATAAAAACTTTTGTGAGATATGATTTGCTTTATTGCTTAACTAAAGGGGAAATTAATTAGTGCCTTTCTTTTTAGAAGTTTGTTTTATGTGAACGTGCGCATCGCAGAGCATGATCGAGTGCAAAGGGAAGGGACGGTGTCCTTTTTCCAAAAACGGAGCTTTAAAAAAAATGGATTGATGCATATTCTGCTAGCAATTATGTGCTTTTTCTTCTTGTCTGGGAAATTTAGTTGTAATTAAGTAGTTCAGAAAACATCTTAATTATATTGTTACTACTCATTAGTTGAGCATTAGCAGAGGATGCGAAGTCCAGATTTTATGGTGGCTTCTACTTTAATGTCTCCTGCTTGCCAGCAGGCTGCAATGAGAGAGTTGGAAAACAATCTAATTTGCCCTTCATTAACAAAACCCAAGCTGTCTTTCGGCATTGCAGTACTATAACTTTATTAAAAAAGCAGAATATATAGAGTTCTCAGCCAACAGTTTTGTCCAATTTTGGATGGGGAAATTCCTGAAAATAGTCACTCCTTTGTTCTAAATTGCTGTGTTGGGTGATTTTTACTTTTCTGGGCAAGTGACTCAAGTTATCGAATTTGGTTTTTTGGGTGATGAATGTGATATAATTTTTCATTATCTTGCTACTTAGTCTGACATTGCATTAAACGCTTTACTAAAGTTAGTCTAGTTTATTTCCTAATTGTCTGGTGTAACAAACATACGCTAGTTGTCTTTTATCACTGCAGTACTATAACTTTATTAAAAAGGCAGAATATCTAGAGTTCTCAGCCAACAGTTTTGTCCAATTTTGGATGGGGAAATTCCTGAAAATAGTTACTCCTTTATAATGGATTCAAATAGTTCGATTTTAAGGCGCTCGAAACGTGATCAGTTTATGTGAGTGTATAATATGTATACGAAAATCTCACTAAATTAAGCATTTAGTTTGGCGAAATGATTTTGATGAAAGGTTAGAAAGGGGATATTGATCATTCAGTCGAATAACTTATTCTTAGGTTTGTAAATTAAGTCATATTATGAGTTTTAAGGATGTATTAAATTTTTTGTTGATGACCATGAATTATAGTTTTCTTGTCGTTTTGGAGGACCATTTCGATGGAGCTGTTTAGAGGGATCCCATGAGGTGTTGGCATGTTGAAACTTAGCACTGTCTTTTTCCATATATTGTCCATTAAGTGCAGAAAAAACCGATTATCCTTTTTTGTATGTGAACTTCTATATTATTGACTACTAGATGTTAAATAGGGTTTCGAACCCAGCCTGTTTTTTACTTTTGTAGGGCATACGTGGCAGGAATCTAACAACTACTGGGGTTACAGATAGCATATTGTACTGAACAACTTCATCTACATTCTCCAACATAATAAAAGAACAAGATCTAACAAATTAATTAGAAATGCTAAATTCATATTTTACCATATCATAACTAAGTTTACAAAAACTACTAGTAAAACAATTAAAATAAGATAACTTTAATAATTAATTTTAACAAATACTATAGCTACCTTAGCTTACTAAACGAACCTAATATATAAGATTAATTATTGAAAATTCTTTGTCCTGGAGAGAGTATCCTCTTGGGGTCGAACAAAGCTTTCTTCTTCAGGAAGGCTTTCCATTTAGAGCCAAAGTGGTTTATCCAACCTTGCTGTGTTTTTATGTGAGGAAGGTACTGCTTAACCTCTAAACCAGCCCTGTCACAAAACCCTAATATCTCTTCGTTTTGCTCCTCAAATGCTTCCCAATCGTCAAACCCACTTGAATACAAAAATCCA